GCGCACGCGCATACACATTCTCTCCAGAAGCAAGAGCTTTCGTAGGCTTCCGGGAGGGAGAATTCGACTACTGCAAAGTGTCGAACATGCAAAGTGTTTGCATGAGCCGATTCCTGCTTTGGACTACTGTATCTTGACGATTGGAAGCCGGATACGTAGTGCGGGTTCAACGTATGAAAGCATGCGTGCGCACCTTCAGACAAAACATGTGTGTATGTATGTCTATATATATATATATATATACATACACAATGTGTGCGTGTGCGTGTGCGTGGGCACGTACGCGTGTGCATATGTTGTGGTGTGGCATGTTACGCTATATCATTAAAGCGCATATGCACATCCCTACGCATTCATGTAATGCATGCAGCAATGCATTTACATTTACATTTATATTTGCATTCACACTCACAGCTACATGTCATTTCACTACATTATAGTAAATTAAATACTATGCTACATAAACCAGACTACATTACATTGCGGCGAAGAATGAAACCCGCCAGGAGGGTCCATTTGTCCAACAAAGCCTTGAGCAAAGTAATTGCCCCACAAGTCGCAGGATTAGCCCACGAAAAAACAGAAAAAAAGAAAAGAAAAAGAAACACACCCACACACACACAAGGTTTACTACGACATCACCCCCACCCCAACCCCTGCCAAAACAAAACAACAACAATACAAGCCTCACTTTGTGGAACGTCGGAGGCGGGTTCCCAGCCGTGGTGTGGCTCCGGATGGCGGTTCGCTTCTACCAGGCGAGGTCTGCGAGAGACCTCGAGTCTCGCTCACGTGGGTCAAGGGAGCAGGGACCATCCCCGCACAATCCGACTGCAGTATATGGCTGTGGGTCAAAACCAATGGGATCCCATTTTGGGGTATATAGGTGAATTCACCAGCCATTTTAGAACCTATTTTAGCGGGAATTGGGATGTTCACTGGGGGTACGGGATTTTGACCCATGGCCATATGCCAACTGAAGTGGCGCATTTGGAGGGATGCGCGTAAAGGCTACTTCGGGTTGTGTGTGGGATCTTTGGACGGGTGAGCCTGATATTTCCTATCTGGATTGTTTTGGGATGATTACATGGCTGGCGGGTGCATGAACCTCAAGGAAAGGAACAAGCCGTAGAGATGGGAATCCAATGGCACGGAGCCTGGCGAGTTATAAGGACATCATGTTCGGTGGGTTTGCGATGTCACACTTGAAGGCTTCTTTCATAGTGATCCGGTGTTGTTAGTGGCCGAGTCATGTTCATTTGCCCAAAGCTTCTCCCTGAAACTACGAGCACCGAAACTATTTACATCCTGGGTTGGGGGATGAACCTGACCAAGCTGAAATTGCCATGCCGAAAATTCCACGCTAGGCCGTTCTTTCTCAGACTTGGACTTGTTTCCTCACACTGGCCTCACCTCCCGCAAATGGGTTTGCCTCAACTGAGGGGACCCCAAAAAGGGGGTCGGCTTTCTTTTGGTTTCCTTTACAACCAACCTAAAAGGGGTGCCCCCCAAAACATCACATCCAAATGACCATCATTTTGATGGACCTCTTTTTGGGGTACTTCTTTGGGGGTTCCTCGATCTCTTTTGAACAAGAGGAACACCAAGGACTTCTTTCCAAAGAAGAGTCCTCCCGATTTGTTTTCGGATGTATAGTAACCTGCAGGAGGGTACATCTTTCTTTTTTTTCTTCCCCCGAAATTTGAGGGAAGCCAAAGGGAAGCAACAGGACCACCAGCCTTCAATGCCCTCTTTTTGTGGAAACATCCTGTGTTTTGGGAATTTCCCTAGGTTCCCCTTGTGGGGTCTTGTACTGTATGGTCTGACCCTTAGACTATGACATTATGAGAAACATGTAGTGGGGGCAACTCGATCCAGACTATCTACTCTCAACTCCCATCGGTTCCTGTTGCGGGACGGTCGTGCTAATGGTGACGGTACTCATTTTGATCGCATGGCCGTGATGGGACGTCTTTTGGCCGGAATATTCATAAAGCTTCTAGAGCTTGCTCCAAGGGGTAGCTGCAACTGTGCTTTACACCTGCCACCGATGGCCAAGCGCACTTTCTTTGGGGTCACCGCTCGCCCTTTTGGCGTGGATCCATGGCGTCCCAGCCCATTGCCCTACAGCCGAGGAGCTTGGCTCCTGGCAGTGGGTTCGTTGGTTCTACTCAACTCCTTACATAAAGTCCATATGTGCCAGGATCGTCAATCTCTTAACAGGGGCTTGAATCAACCGTTCGAAGGGTTTCTACCATGACCATGGTCCACGTAAGGAGTTTTCATATATGTTACAAAAACGGGGGAACCCCAAAATGGTAACGGGTTCCCTCTAAACCAACCCTAAACGGGGCACCCTCGGAAAACGACGATCGTTTTTGAGGGTCCCGTTTTTGGATTTGTGGAGAGAAATCAGGGGTTCCATTTTTTTGACACATTGCAAAATAGGGGTGCCTTAAACTGCAATCCTTGTTGTTTGCTTGAGCTACCAACCAAAAGGGGGTCCGAATCTCATCTAGAGGGTGAACGGCTAGGTTAAATCCAACGGTCTATCAAAGCACCCTCTGTGATATAGTTATCTGCGCGTGGCCATTGAGCCCGGCTCCCTTCGAGTCCCTCGCCCGACTCGAGTCGAAGCGGACTCCTCTGCCTCGAGGAGTCCAAAACCAGCGCCAAGCGCGTGGCAAGGGACTGGCTGCGGAGGTTCATGGCAAGGGGCCCAAAGCGAAGCGCGAAGCGCGAAGCGCAGCCGAGTCGTCGTAAAATGTTTGTTGCGGGCGTGTCTCAAAATTCGGAGCGACCCCGAAAAATGGGGTTTGTTTTTTGGTGTCCCTTGAATTTCTAAAAGGCGATCCACGTGTCGAGAAACCCTCGCTCACCCCTGTTTTTCTTGTTTTTGTTTGTTTTTGTTTTTGTTGGTTTGGAACCCCAAAGACCATCATGTGCGGCATTCCGCTTTTCCAACCCCAGAAGCCAACGATTATGAGTATTTTCAGCTCCGTCCTCTTGGTTTCCATGATTGGCATTCCAAAAGGAAAGTCGTCTTCCAAACCCGTCCCCTCGATTTCCATGATTTAGAGGAAAGGAGCCCTTTGGGGCTCCATAACCAGCAGCGGAGTGCCTCACTGACAGCGACCCGACTCCCCGACTCACGGCTCGCAGCGGTCGAGGTGTGGGCGTGGCAGGGTTTGCCCACCGGCGGCTCGCGGCGGCCCCGGTGTTCTCCGCTCCGGACCTCGAGATCGAAGCAGAGCTTCCTCTCGGGGCGATGGTTCAAAGGGTAGATATGGGGGAGAGCCCTTGATCATAGACTTAGGCAGTAGTATAGGTGTTGGTTGTGTACAAAGGGGCTGTTCATAGTGAAATCACGTTGGTTTTTGCTCATTGGAGGTGGTGTTCCCTGTGGCTTTGAGGCCCTTGACGCTCCACGGGGAGCAGGACGTGGTCAAGACCATAGGGTGTTCGACCTGCGTTCTCCTAGGCCTCCAGTGGGGCGTTTCATTTTTTTTGTTTTTGTGAGGTTCCCTTTTGCACAAAAGCCACTACGACAAAAAAAGAGCCCTTGTGCCCCATTTCCACCTTTTTTGGAGCTCAAGAAGTTTCTGATTGGCTGGGCGGTCGCATCCCCAGCATCCCGTGCCTTCCTTCACTGGGGTAGACCACATCATTGAGCAAAATCACCTGAAATGGGCTTGCTGGTTCGAGTTGGAATGACCCCGAGCAGAAACCATCCAACTGGTGGTTTCCTTTCGGGAATTGTCGAAACCGGTTCATTCCCAACACCCGGACTCGTGGCCATTCCCTACCTATCGCACCAGACGAAGGAGTACTTCTCCGGGCGCTTGGCCTCCGGCGTGTCGCCTGCCACGTGGGGATCCCCAGTTGCTGGGGGCGGTCCGCTGGCCAAAGGAACCGCAAAAAAAGCCGGCCCTTGTTGGATTATTTTAGCCCAGTTTTGGGCAGAGCCCCCGAAAAGGCAAACCTGATCTTGACTGTTTTTAGGAAGACTCCTTGCATGCGAGGTGCTTGTTGGCAGTTTGCCACCCGCAGAAAATGTGGGCCTGGATTTCACTAGAACCTTGTAGATTGCGGGAACTCCATTGAAAGGAACTGTAATCGCTACAAAAATTGGCCAGGTCCATTTTAGGGGTGTATGACTCCTGTTCCCATTTCCCGTGAGTTGTTTCTTTTGAGCCACACACCTGCCTGGCACTGGCTGCAGGCTTTTGCTCTTTGTGACGGAGATGGTCCTGTTTCTGGAACAAGCTCCCGCACCGAGCTCCTTTGGGGAGGACTTCGCACCGGGTGTCTCAATTCTCGCCATAGATAGCCCTTATTTCGGGTGGGCATCTCTGGAACCAGTGTTGTTTTCGGTTTCCTTGGGTGAGGTTGAAAAGCGAGATAACCCTGACAGTCTTGCACATTTCGTTTTTCCTCGGCGACTTGGCGCTCTCTTTTTCAAGTGAAGCACCTGGCAGGGGAAAGCAAGCGCTGGTATGGCTCAAAAGCTGTACCCCCAACAAGCGCAGGTTGGACAAGGAAGCAGTTGGCTATGAGTTTTAGTGGGGACTCCCCTTTAGCATGGTTGGTGGATCCAGGTAAGTGATATCCACCAAAGGGCACCCCCAAACAAAAGCACACCCATTTTGTATGCAAACCGCTGACGAACACCTTGCCATCCCCATTGGCATCCCCCGGGCGAGAAATCAATAAACACACCATAGCTTCAGCGTTCTCGGCATGTTGGTCTTTCTTGGCTCTGTTCTTATTGGGACAAGCTTGATTACGTAGGGTTGCTAGTATGGCTGCCGTTTCAAGCGGTCATGACCAAACCTGCTCTGCTCAACATATGCATGTATCTTGTTTTTAGGCCTACCCATATTTTTTTGTGGTGTTAAAGGGACACCAACAGGACACCACATGTTTTTTGGGGTCTCTTTAGAAGAAAGTATGACTCCCATGTATCGTTGAGTTGAGTTAACTCCCACGCGCTCCACCGGATGGACGGCTGGAGTCGGGCGGCCGCCTGTGGGAAGCTTCTGGTGGCGCTCTATGTGCTGCACAAGCTGCCCCGGCTCCTCCGGTACTGGCCTGCGAGGCGAATCTTTCGCCTGCCAACGGCAAAAAAACCACATGGGTGTGCCATTTTTTAGGGGGACTGGCAAAATAGATGGTTTTCCTTTCGGCGTCTCCTTAAAACCACGAAAAAGAGGGCACCCTTAAAGGAGAAACGATTAAATGGGATGATGCTAGCCTTAAAATTGGTGGTTTTCCTGCTGGTTTTCCTTTGAACCAACCCTGAAAGGTTGTCCTCTTACATCAGACCCAAATGGGACAATATTTACCTCAGGGCCCGGATGAATCAACTGGTGGATTTTGACCGAGGGGTGTCCAATTCCTTTTTCCACTTCTGGATGACATCCCCCCTCCGCGGAAAGGAGTCGGGGGTCCTTTGCAGATTCGTCCAGAACCTTGGACAAATCTTTGGACCCGGAGCTTGAACATGATTGATTTTCTTGAAGCACCCGAGTTGCAACCACAACAACTCGGAATTTGATCGGACGAATCTTTGGACCGAATTGAACATGGCTTGGAGCTCTGTATTTCCCGAAGCAAACAAAGGTGGCAATTGACATTTCTGCTGGCACCGGGCCGAGGGAAGCGATCCAAGGCGGACTATTGGCATGCAACTAGGTAACTAAGGCGAACCTTGTTGGTCTTCAGGATATGATGCAACCAACCTTTGAATACCCTTTGCCCCTCCCTCTCTCTCCCTCTCTTTTCCTCCCTGTCCGTCTGCCTGCCTGTCTGCCTGCCTGTCTGCCTGCCTGTCTGCCTGCCTGTCTGCCTTCCTGCCTCTCTCTCTCTCTCTCTCTCTGCCTCTCTCTCTCTCTCTCTCTCTCGCTCCGAGCAGAAAGCCATTGGTGGAGCCTCACAGTCTGGTCTCTCGAATTTTCTTTCGGGAACCGCTTGCCTTTTTCCGAAGTCCAAAGGCAGTGTGGCAAGCAAAAGGCATCGACCAAGTTCACACCCAGTGCATCCTGTAGTGTGAGAAATGCCATTCGACGAGGATCCACATCTACAAACATGGCAGCCTTTGTAGACAAGCTTCTAGCAGTATATTCTGTTGAGGTGTCCTTGTGTTCAGAGAATGGTCTTCCCGGTAGCCTTTCTTGGCAGTTAAGGGAAGCAAGAATCACCCAATTTGCGAGTATTTGAAGAAGCCACGTGCACTTAGGCGACTTTGGAATCAAGGAACTCTTAGTCCCGGGGTTCAACCATTAAATTAGTGGTTGTCCTTGGTAAGCAATTGTATGCACCCGCCCCCTTGAAACTGTGGTTTGAAGCCCAGGGTCCTCATTATCTGATGAGGCGTTGGGGGTTTCAAGTTGTTTTCTCTTCTCGGATTCTTGGGGCCCTTGGTAAGCACCGCTTTTTTTTAGCCCCCGCCCCCATGCAGCGATGGTTTGGACAAGCCTCGGGCGAGAGTCCTCCGACCCGAAAAGCCAAAACTCGGAGGCCGCTGGGGCCGCGTGCCCTCGCTCCGGGCGGCGCGGGTCCGCCGTTCCTGCGGTGGTCGGCGTGTCGCCTGGCCGAGGCCATCCGACGCCGGGAGCTGACCGCGGAGCAGGCGCGGTGAGCGGTGACCCCACACCGCGTATTGCACATGCCCTTTTTTTTTGGTACACATGTGCAACACGCCGGGGTTTTTCATGATTTTGTTTTCTTCAATTTTTTGAGAAACCCGGTTTTTCATGGCAAATGCCGGGGTATCATGCCCAGCAAGTGGGTATTGGGAGGGGGTGGGTGGTGGGTCGTATCGGAATTGGACCCCAGAAGTTCTGACCAGGTGGTGGACGCATTCATCCAGCGGCTGCAGGACGTGGATGTGCCGGGCTGTGTATTTGGGGATGTCCAGCCTTGTATTTCTAAGGGACATAATTGAGCCGTTCATAGATGAAAGCCTTGTAATTTTCCGGATGCCACCTTCCAAATTCTTTGGGAGCTACCGCAACCTTTCAACAGTACATCGGGGAGTTGGTTTGGAAAGGGAAACCAGAAGGAAGCGAAACATTTTGCAGGCGCCCTTTTCAGACAAGTACAAATGGACCCTTCCACAACTCAGTCCATTTTTCTTGTTTCACAAAGACTGCCGGGTGAAAGGAATGGCCGTGAGTCCCGTGAGTTGATTAATGCCATTGTTTGTTCGGCGTTGTGGTTTGTGGATTTCAAGCAGGTATATTGGTGGAGGGCGGCAAACGCGCTTCCACCCTAACTGCCATCAACACATGAGCAGTGCCGAGCCCCAAGCAGATGGTTCTACTTCCTGGTGTCATAGGGATTGTAGTAAGGCCCATAGAAGCCATTCTATTTGACTCGGCAGAACCACGAGTCAATGGGTGGGCACGGCTCGCGTGCCTAGGTGCACCTCAACGCACTGGTAGCTGAGCGCTTCGATGCTGCGAGGCAACAGGCGCGGGACGTGGCAGTCGTCGACGGGTTGGCTGCCCTGATGGCTGCGTGTGGCTTTGGTTGTCTGGGACGGGAGGTCATTTTAGCCCATGATGTGCTTGTTTCGAAGCAACCGCGTGCTGTTTTGGAGGGTTTGGGTGTAAGAGATCAACCCAGGTTCCCTCCTGTAGTTTCTCTATCAGTTCATCACAGATAAATCGCTTTCCGACCGTTCGCGTTTTTTGTCAAACATTTCCATTGGCCATGGACCGGCACCAGAAGCGCGCCGCTTCGATGGACTCTGAGGCGCGAGAGGTCGACCGCCGCATCGCATCTGAGAAGGGCGAGTTGCCGCCCTTCCTGGGCCGCTTGCATCGAAACCTCGATGGAGTCGTGTCACGGTGTTGTCTCAGGCTCGGCGCTCGGGATGTTTGACGTTTTCAACCTTGTCAGACCCCGAAAAGGTAACCCTTGGCTTGTTGGAGGGTCCAAACTTTGCAAATTTCCGGTAAGGCACAATAAACAGTGAGGCGTTCCACGACAATTGAGCCGCAATCAAAGCCGGGGCAGATCAGGACTTAGTAGGGGACAATCCCCGCCATAAATAGGATCAGCCGCCCTTTCGATTGTTTACATGGTTTTGCGTAGACTCCTTCAGCGCAGGTTTTCACGTTGACTCATCTGAGCGACTGGCAACATGCTTGGTAGTTTATTGCAGTCTCGGGGAGAATGTGAAGGGCGCCTACCCCCGCAACATCCACGGGGGGAGCAGCCACCTACGAGGGTTACAAGGAATATTTGGGGTTTCATCCAAACCTATGTTCTTTTTTCGGGGTAGAGCAGATACAAATCTGAACATCTGGTTCATGTGTAGGAGTCATCCCAAGCGCTTGGAGGATTGGAGCTTCGGAGGATCGAGGGATGGTCCTCAACTCTTCTAGGGCCACAAGAACTGAAGAATTGACCATGGCACGACTGATAGCACCATGCAGAACACTTCGGGGCGAAAGCCTGATTTGCTTTTTTTGTCCGTTTCAGGAGAAGCGTGTATGACAGAAACGGATCAGGATGCTGCTTGTGTTCGCAATGCCCAAAAAACCACAAGGCTAGAACATCGGTCAATGGTGTCCTTTCTGTTTCCGCGAATTAAGTTCTACTCTTGCCGAGGTCATTGGGGCAACCCGGTTTTGCCGAAGGTTTCTCTGAACGGGCTTCGGCTTCCAATGTTTTGGGCCCCCCGGCCGATCGAAATCGGATCGAAATCGGATGGGCCGATCGATGGAAACGTTGGATGTTGGCGGCTGCGGCGGCCTTTGCAAGGTGTGCCGATTGTGGTGAAGGAAGCCTTCGAGTACCCTGGCTTTCCCTACACCAACGGCTTGCTCAGTCGCAAAGGCCGTGGCAAAAACGAGGGACTTGTGCCTGGGTGTGTTGTTTGGAGCAGGCACACCGTTTTCGTCGTTTTAAAACAATATCCCAAAGGAGAATCACCAATTTGGAGAGTCTCCCAAAAAAAACATGCCCCCCATAATTGGGAAAAAACACCGTTAGTCTCGGCAAAGAAACCCGTGCCCGGGGTTGTCGCCCCGTCCCGCGCGACCGAATCGCAAGGTCGCCTGGGCGTGAAAGCAGGGTACGCCGTGCAGCGCGTGGAGGCGGCGGGGTTTCTGGTGCTGGCCACCACCAACATCTCGGAGGCCCGCGGAGTCATCCGAGCTCGGTGAGCCGAAAAGGGTTTCGGTTTTCCTTTGGGAAATCTGGGCGATTTTGGCAGCACCTGTACAGCTTGTAGTGTCCCTTCCAGTAGCCTGTTCACAGGAATCTCATTTTTGGGAACTCCTCTTTGGATTCCACGTTGCACACTCCGTTTGGTTTTGGGCGGGTTTTAAGGGGGACGAAAGGGTATCCCTTTGTTGGTTGCCTTTTCGGGGGGACGAACGGAATTCACCAGTTTGGAGGAAACAATGGCCTTTGGGGACTCATAAATGAGTTTCTCCTGAACGGTAAATGCCAGTTCTATTAACCCAACGATTGGGTTTAATGCATTAGTTCGGATGCCAGGTGCACATGGCGATTTGAATTTGAAGAGTCGGAACCTCAAGAGTGGTTGGCAGACATGGACCTATTTGTAAGTGGGTAATAGCCATGATAAGTGAGATGACAGGCTGGCTGACCCAAGCGCATCGCCGTCTTTCAGTGGGTTTGTATCACATGTCTGGCTAAGAGGGCTCTCAAGGGAAATTTGCAAACTGGTCACACTCTCGTGCGTGCCTTTTTAGGTGGCACTGTTTTTTCTTCCCCAGATAGCTGAAGGCTTTTGGGGTTCTAACTTCTAACAAAGACGGGAAGGGCTCTCATTTGCGAGAGTGCCGGCCAGGTGCTAGGGGGCATGCAGTTTGGGGTGCTGGTGGAGGTTCTGCTTTCCTTCACCATCACCATAATGCTTTCCGCATCATCATAATGCTGTCCGCATCATCATGATGCTGTCCGCGTCAGCATGGTGCCGCAGGAACCATTGTGATGCTGCGTCATAGTTCGTAGCCATGGCATGCTATTTGGGGTCTATGCTGGTGTATTGTTTCGGAGTTTTTGAAATTTGAAGGATGGTGGTCGCATGGGGGAACCCCAAAATGGGCCGAGGTCTGGGAGGATCCCTCAAGCTTGTTCTTTGGTCGACCCGAAACCGGTTCTAACGAACGGGTTCCAGCTTGCACCAAAGGACAATCTCATGTCGTAGGCCTGCATGTGGATGGAGTCCTACAACCTGGTGTGCCTGGGCGCAGAGCTAAGGCTTTCAAAGCTTGATGGTACCTAGGGTTGGGAAGAAGGAAGCCCAAGAACATCACATGCGATATGAGGCAAGCTATCGACATGGACGCGAATTCCTGGTTCCCCGCACTTTTTTGGAGCTCGGGGGTAGAGTTCATGGAAACCCGGTTGTGAGGTAGTGGAGGCTTCTAAAATTTGTGGGTAGGTGGGAGCCCCACAGTTATAAAAAGGTTTCGTGGAACATGAATACCTCCGAGCTCCAGATGAAAAAACGCATCAAATGGAAAATGTACGACCAAAGACGAAACCAAATGGCAATAATTCTACCAAAGCTCCGAAAAATAGGTGTAGTAGAACAAGTATGAAGCTTTTTGTTGCTTCAAGCAAAGACTCTGAAGATGGTACCTGAAGCCATTCATTGGACATGATCCCAACCCAACCAGACATATTTGGACAAATGCCTGCAGTTCACAAATCGGAAGTTTGGAATGCGCAGAACTCTAGTCAAAAGGATGTCAAAGACGCAACTTAGATGATACACAATTGCAGCTATAAATATATATATATATATATAATATGTATGAAGAGAACCATTCACCTCCAGCCATGAAACCCTTTCATAAAACCCACGCTCTTATGAACCCTATGGCCTGATTTCTTTCATGAAGCCCGTTTAACCCCATGAAGGTCTGAATTATAAAGCATATGGCTGTATCTCGATATAGGGGAATCAGCGCATGTCCCACATTCATAGCCATTTGGGTGTGTTTTCTTGAGGGGGCCGATTGTGGGGTTGGCTCAAGGTAAACCAACAACAAAAACACTGCAGCTTTCTTCTTTCTTTTTATTCTTTGGGGGGGGGGGGAAGTGTAAAACGCTATGAAAAAAGACCACAAATACAAGCGTGTATATATATATATACATATAAGCCCGCACCTATATGTAGATATATTAACTATATATATATATATTTATAACCCCTCTCTCTCTCTCTCTTTTAGAAAATTATCCGTCTCTCTCTCTCTCGCTCTCTCTCTCTCTCACTCTCTCTCTCTCTCTCTCTCTCTCTCTCTCTCTCCATTTGAGGTACGGCCGCGTGGCGTCGCCCTTTGGGTCCCACTTGAGCCCCGGGGGCTCCTCCGGCGGCTCCGCGGCGCTGGTGGCGGCGCTCGGCGTCCCCGTGGGCCTCACCGCGGACATCGGGGGCTCCACGCGGATCCCGGCGCTGCTCAACGGCCTGCGCCGCGGCGTAAGCGGGGCGGCGTTTGGGGCGGGTGGACTTGTTGGTTTGACCGTGTTTTTTTTTGAGGCGTTCCGTATTAAAAAAAAAAAAAAGAACGAAAGGTTGGTTTGATCGATTTGGTTTGTCTTTACAAAGGGGTTTTGTTTGACGTGTTTTTGAGGCTTTTCTTATTTTAAAGACACAAGGTTTGGAGGCTCCTTTTGCCAGGAGTTCTTGGGGTTTTCCCAGGCTTTCTCCTTGGTGTCCCTTTGTTTGTCTCAGAGCAGGACCGCCGAATATGCTTTGTTTGCATGTCGTTTCCCTGCCCTACACCCAAAAAGAAACGGTTTCTAGAGGAGCTTTGCATGCCCCTTTTCCATCTAGAGCCAGCCGAAAAGAGAGACAATTGCCAACTCCAGGAAAGCACATGTTTTCCTTTTCAACCAGGGTTTTACTTTGGTTTCTCTTGATTTTCTGTGGTGGCAACATCAAATTTTGGTTCATAATCGAAACCTGGTCTTAGCGTGGTTTAGGGCGCCCTGCTCCTGTGTATGGTTTGGACAGCGCCTTGATTTTCTCTTGAAGGGACCGCCTGCGAGTGGGAGGGGCAAAAGTTGGCACTCTGTGGCGGTGCTTGTGTCCTTTTGGGTTTGTCTCAAAATGTGGGGCGCCCCAAAATGGGTCGTTTCTTTTGGTTTCCCTTCGAACCAAGCCCAAAAGGCTACCCAGGGGCCACGGGTTGCGGTGGATTGAGGTTTGGGCACAAGCCGACCGGCGGCATCATCCCAAACCACGGCACACACCTGGAGGAGTTCCATGGAGCATCTTGGAAAAGAAGAGACAGTTGGAGCCTCTTTTGGCCGGGTTGGGTGGGGTTGGGCCCCCCCACCCTCCCCTTAAATAGTAAAAGTCAAACATACTTAGGGCATCCACCGTAGTTTTAGGGAACCAAAAGGAAACCAACGATTTTGGGGGAGTACTGTTTCATAGAAAAGCCCCAACAAATGACCTCCTACACCGCAGAATGCAAACCTGCGGGCTCCCCACACCCCGGGCGCCCCATGCGCCAGGCGGTGTGCCGCATCTGCCAAATGGGCGCCGTGGCTCGGCACGCCGAAGACTTGGCGCCTCTGCTGCGGATCATGGCCGGGCCCCCGAGCCCCGAGGCACAACGGGAGTTCGCTTGAAGGGAAAGCGGCCCTGTGGGGATGTCATGGGGTGTTGGGTGGGAAAGGGAGGGAGGTCTTACCAAGCCCTGAGTACGGGATTTGGGCTCCACGAGTTTCGCCCGACCTAGCCACAGCGACCAATAGAAAGTCCACCGCTGAGCCATTTCCAGGTGCCTCCGATACGGTCGAGTCGTTTCGGGCGCCCCGGGCAAGGCGCGTTTGGCCCACGAGTACCGCGCCTGTCCCGCTTGGCGTGGCTTGGAACCCGAGTTGGGATCGATGACGGTGGGCTCGCTGTCTTTCAGAGGCGGCCTTCCCTCTGCGGCTCGGATCACTTGGCCTTGAAAGAAGTGAAGAACGCGCCCAAGAGGGATTCCTATTGCACCAGTGTAGGGGGTTCTATAGCGGTTATGCAGATTTTCGTGCCTGTATAAACCTCCGGCTAACTCAAAGTCCATGGGTTTCGGGCACTCATTTGTGCTGAAGGACTTAGGGTTTGCTCCCAAGCCAAAGGCCACCGGTAAGCGGTTTCCCAGGGGTGGGTGCAAGTGTAATAGACAAAAAAAACCATGTAAGACTTTAACTCCAATTCTGTGACTCCCAGAGGCTTTTTGCGCTGGCTCGCTTCTGGAAAACGGAAGCCATTGTGCCTGGTCAAGGAGGGCTTTGCAGATGGGCAACATATTCATGTGGCAATGCCACGCCTTCTGGGGCAGCTATGTTGAAGCGCATGGCAAGCATTTGACGAGAACCGAACCATCAAAAGGAAGAGGAATCGACGTCGAAACGGGGCTTCTGGATCAGAGATAGGGATCGGATGTTTCCAGGCTCCCTACATTTCCCCTTCAAACATCGTCCCAGGTGGAAACTAAAAATGTGATATAAATTTAAGCTGGGCTAAGGGTTTGCCAGTGAAAGCAGCTGTTAATCAGGGCTGCAAAAATGGAAGCCAGCCGCCGGGTCCAAAACTAGCCATGCGTTAGTATGGGTACCCAGCTGGTTTTGCCTTTTAGTTGCCTTGAAGCCAACACGGCAACACACAACTCCTTTGCAACTGGGGGGCGTCTTTGTTGGGGGTACCCCTTTTTTCGGCGGTTTCAAAGGACCACCGACGGGAAAAACCGAAGTCCATCTTCGCAGGTCCAACCCTTAAGACGAGCCACCCCTGGTTTCGGGTTCGGCGAAAAACCGAGGCCCAGGAGCTGATGATCTCCAGCGTGGGCAAAGGACAGCAGCGGGCGCAGCAGCGGGTCATCCACTGGCTCGAGACCCAGGCGGGCGCGGGCGGAAATTGGACAGCAGGGGGGTTTGGGTTCGCGCCGCTTTTTTGTTTGGGATAAAGACTGAAAATGGTTTTCCTTTCAGGTAAATCCACTGACCTTGTCGTTGCCTCAAGGAATGAGGATGGGTGCACCCTGCTGTGTACCAACCTCGCAAAGAGTACTCTTAAAAGAACGACGCCCGACAAAGAAGCTGTTTTTTTCATATAGCCAGGCGTAATCCTCCCCCCTCCCGCCCCCCCAAAAAAAGAGGATGTGTCAACATAAAGTTACCCCAAACATGGTGGCTTGTCTTGTGTTAGCTGGAACCCTTTGGACGTCATCAATGGTTTTGATGTTCCTTCTCCCTCAAAAGGCACAACCCCAAATGGCAATGATGATGAATTTTAATAGAGAGTCACCTTAAGAGTGATCAATGGGCATGAATCCCGACTTAAAATGATGTCCACAAAGGGTCCCCCATTGCAATTCAGACCCAAATGGAATCCCTGGCTTCAAGGCTCCTTTGGACTGAACTTCGCCAGGGCTGCAAGATTCAGCCGTCGCTCGGCGAGCAAGCGGCAGGGAGAGCTCTGAGGGCTGCAAAAAGTTGTTGCAGCCAGACCCGTTTCACCCCCGTTTAAAGGGAAATCAAAAGGAGCTTGTTTAAGAAATGGTTTGAACGGGCTTGCCGCAATTTGGCCCAACCCTCACGTGAGCCACTATTGGTAGTCCACAGGTTGGGGAGGACCAGAAGGCCCAACAACCCCGCAAGAACCATGGAGACTGCCCCCCCCCAGTTTGTCCATGTCCCCTTGGGGAAGTAGAAGTACTTCCGTCCGCTGCTCATGAGGCCATGGCCAACCCAGTTGCTTGGGCGTGGGGCTGGACCTCTTGACGAATCTAGACAATGTGCCACGGTCATCAAGCCCTAGGTTTTAGAGTGCAAGCGTCAGCAACGAACATGATGTGCTACAAAGGGAACCACGCCCATGGCCCATATAAGGTTTGGTCACAACACACACACACACAACACACACAACACACACTTGTGCTTGTTTTGGGCTTGCACGGGGCACGTTTCAAGTGCGGCAGCTCAGGCTGTTTTTCGAGGACCTGGCTGTCGGAGAGTGGTTCGACTGCTCCGTGCCTTATAGTGGGACTGCCATGCGGTTGCCTTCCCACACCCATTTGGGTGTTTGTCGGACCCACCCTTTGAAACCATCCAACAAGAAGACCTCGCGCATGAGATAGACCCTCAGCTTGGCTTATGGGTGCAACTTCCTGTTTGTAATCGTTTGTGCGCTGACTTTGCCTATGAGGTGGGCCTGCCAAGTGATGATTACTCATCATACCATCATGGTAGGTTGCTAGCTTTAGTCTGTTAATGTTAACCAATTGGGAGGCTTTGTTCTCCCAGGAGACCACCCGAAGGAAGCCGTGGAACTAACATGCTGGGTCTGTCTTTCATATGGGAACCCCAAAATTGTTGGCTTTCCACACTAAAAAGGCATTTTCTTTGACGCTTCACAATTGCCGGTGGGCTTTTGCAAAATTAACTGATTCAGTCAATTTAATATCGAATGCTTGGGACCATAGAAGGGGTGGGGCGCTTTTGGTAGCTGCTTTTGGGTTTGCCCTGGGTGACATGTCGGGGCACGCAACCTCCTCTTGGCTCCCCTCTATTTCTGGATCTGATCTGTTCCTTCCGCTCAGTTTCATGGGAAGAGCACCTCATTGCGCTTGCGTTGCGGGGTGCGCAAAACAACATTGCTCTCTTGCAGAGAACCATTCAACCATCTCACTGGTGGGTTCAAGACACCGAACAATCCATAAAACTGGGTAGGCTCCTTTTGATCGATCCTTTCTTAGGGAGTCGTCTGTCAACTCTTGCAGCCTTTTTGGGGGAAGCCGAACCGAGGCTGGAGCACCCGGGTGCAGGGCGCGGGCACGGCGCGGTTCAGAGAGGTGCTGTGCCAGTCGAAGGACTGCTTCGGCCCGGCCGAGGTCCTGCGCGCCTTGGTGTCCCTTACACGAGCCAAGCGTCCCCCCCTCATTGATTTACGAGATTTTGGAATGTCCTTATGTTTTTAGAGAGCGTCCCCTCCTTGGGGGGTGGGTTTTTGAAACCCATAAAATGCACGCATTGAGGCAGATTGAGATGCAACAGTGTGCAGGCAATTCACTTTTAGACCTTGGGTGTTGTGCCCAAATTGCTTGTCTGCTTCAAGCATGACTCATCAAACAATTGGACCTTAAAAATTGGCCCATAATTTCAGTTGCAAGCTTGCACTATCAGACAGTGCTGAGGAAAAGGCCAGTGGCCAAAAGTGTCTTGTCTATTACCAGTGTAGCTGCTTTTTCCTTTAGCATCTTTCTTGTCATTCAATGTTGCAGTGTTCAACATTAGAACTGAATCAGAATTCAAATAGACTCCTATATGAAAAGACACGTTGGTCGTTTATTCTGAATTGCCAGCCCCTTAAAAGGAGAGACAAAGCAATAGAAACCCAAAGGACATGCAATGTCAGCTCTGTTGGTTTACAAGTTTTAGATTGCACCGCTTTAGGTTGAATCATATCTCGGTTAGCCTTCAAGTTAATATGGTATGTTGATCTAGAGTTTAAATAGGTGTCCCTTCCCAAGTAGGATTTTAAATGGGAATCTAATGAGGAAAGAGAAGCTTGTTGTTTCTTCTAAGTTGCAATGCAAGCCTCTGAAGAAAGGGGAAACCCATGGAAAAAAGCTGATTTCATTGCAATTTGTTTGCAAGGTTTACATTGCGAGGCTTTACTTACATTCAAATTGGATTTCGATCAGACTTCACTTCATTTTCTTGAATTAGATATTAGTCAGCACTTCCCTTGCAAGCAGAGTTCCAACTAGAAGTTAATTGGAACCTTGAATTTAACTGTTAGTTTTAGGTGTGTATATAATGGGGTCATATCCAAATATGGTTTCAAGTAGAATGTAGGCATATATTTGTTCTTTTATTTCTTTCCAAATGTGCTAATCCCCCATTAAACCTCAAGAACCAGGGGTTCCACTCCCCAAACCACCAATCCACCAATCCACCAGTTGAGGGCAAGCTGATTTGCCCAGACGTGAATTGCGGCTCGCCCCCCGTACCTTGGAGGCTACTTGGCCGGTTATTCGCCGCACACCTTCCCTGCCCTGGGCTTGGCCTTCCTGGAGGACGCGTCGAGCGTTGCCATGTCGATCCGGGGGTTGCAGCCCGATCCGGAAGGTGTCCTTTCGGTCCCTTCAAGCTCCAACCGGGTTGATTACTCAAAGACCCCCGCGTTCGTTTCCTTTGGTTGTTTTGTTGCCCGCCTTGGAGAGGAAGGGGTTTGAAGCGTTTTTTCCCATTCGTCTTTTCCCCTTTCTCGTGGCACCGATCTGCCAAACCACTCCTTTGTTCAAGCCGCAACATGCGAGATCTACGTCTATTGCAAGCTGTTGCAATGGATGGCCTCCATGCCCCAGCTTTGTGTTTCCGTGCGGAGGACTTGGTTGAGAGCTTCTCGCCCCCCATGGAGCACCTTGGCCAGGGTGCGCCCACCAGAATGGAGAGTCGTATCATGCGTATGATGTAGAGAGCGCGTCGATTCATGAGATACCTTAATTTAGGGACCCCGCAAAAATATCTTCGGTACTCTTGCCGTCTCCCTTTAAACCAAGCTGGGAAAGGGTACCGAGCCTTAGACAACACACAGCCAAATAGGTATGGTCTGATTTTCAACTGGGAACCTGATTGACATCATTTACAAGCGCATAGAACTGGCCACCAAACTAGTTTTGAGGGTGTTCCCCCATTCAAATGCAGGACCATACGTTTTGTTTTTTGGTTTTGAAAGGAACACTTTCGCAAAGGATAGGAACCCTGTTGGGTTCAAACAGCAGGTCTTCAACAAAAACAGGGCAAAGCCTGGAACTCAGATCATTTTGCCCCCCCCCTGTTTACACCCCCCCCCCAAGCCCGCCCTCCGGGCGAGTCAGCTGGTCAGCTGAGCGACTTTCGAGGCAGCGCTTGGCGCGAGCGCAGCAGCTGGAGGACCTGCTGAGATCGCAGCTGGCGCAGTGCCAGGCTCGTTTCTTCGCTTTTTTGTTGGGGCGGACCCCCCCCTCCTTTTTTTTTATTTTTTATTTTTTGGGAAGCCCAAAAGGAAGACCACCATTTTGGGGGGTTCTGAGAAAAAAAAGGACCCACCCAAGTAGCTCTGGTTGTTTTTGATCGGGGTCCCGGTGTCACCTTTTTGTGGGGGCGTGGACTCATCACTTTGTGGAAGGGAATATGGCCCTATTGATGGGACGGGTTTACTACTCCAGGGTCAACACTAGGTTGAACTTTCTGGGAGTGGTTAAGCTAGAATTTTCTGTACTGTGATAAAATGGATATTCAGCCGTCATGATTGAGCAGGAATCAATCACGAATGGGTATCACACGGAACCGGGACTATTCGTTTTCCACAACCCTAATGTCACTTCCGACCCCCCAACCGAACAGCTGCACACCTCAAAGGGGTGCTTATCAGTAGCACTGGCCGTGTCTTAAAATGAGGAACGTACCAACATATATGCATTGGTTTCCCCGTTTTCCCGCCAAAACAGCTACCCCAAAAAGGTACCTCTTTTCAAAGACGAACACGTCTACTTTCTCAGAGGCACTCCTACGTGGAAAAGTCATGAGCATGGCTAGAAATGGCTGTAGGTCAAAACCAATGGTACCATTTTGGGGTAGGTGCACCACCCATTTTATCTATGTTAGTGGGGATTGGGATGTTCACTGGGGGTACGATTTGGCTTTTGACCCATGGCCAAATGATCAAGGTGGAATGCTTCTCCTCCAAATGGTTGGAGGTTTTCAGATCCCCACATGGCCACCAGAGGGTCCCCAATTAAATTGCAGCACGCCGAAAAAAACTGTATGCTAAGGTTGTTTGTTCGGCTTCCAGAAATGAGCAAAGGAGCTGAACATAGATGCTTGATTTGCCACTCAACAAGCAAGTAGCAAATGGGATGTTTTCAAGCACCAGCCTGCTAGGTACGTACTTGATTTATGATTTGCATATTATGTGGTATGACTGAAGCTGCACAGTACTGATATAGTCACCACGAGAAGTCGTTTCGTTCCACAGATTCTCCGTACTCCGAGGTTACCCGACGAACATCTAAACCCGGGTGTCCCCTCTTACACATATGATTATGTGTGTGTGCGTGTTAAAATAGGAGACCCCTCCACAAACAACACAATCATGTGTTTTTCCTCATGGTTTCCCTTAAGCCACCCCAAAACGGGAACCCTCAAAAGACCACCCACCCACACCCAGCTCCTCTTGTGAACCACAATCCGGCAGGTGCTAATAATGCCGACGCTGCCACGACCGGACCTCAGAGCCGGCATGCCAAAACCAGCAAAGTGGCAGGCCGGGGTTCTAACAGGCTTCATGAGGCTACCAGGGCCTGTATAAACCCTCAATGACTATGCTAGAACTTGGGGGATGCTCAACTTGGTTCTCAAATTTATGGACCGCTTGTTGAACCCCCGACAAGGCGGCACACAGCGTAAACGAGTCTCGGCAAACCAGATGAGCAACGGTTAATAGGGAACGGTATGGAGTACACGCACCAAGTCAGTATGGGGAACGACTTTCATGTCAGTTGCAGGTAGAGTGAACAATGATGGCTCAAATCCCCGATGATGAGCCGTTGTAGATTCTGGATGCTGGTTCTTGCTTCTGACCGCTGTGTGTGTGTGTGTGTCGTGTGTGCATGTGCGTGTTTTTCTTGGTGTGTGTGTGTGTTTGTCTGTTGGTTTGTTTGCTTGTTTGTTTGTTTGTTTGGTTCGGAGGGTTTGGTTTGGTTTGGTTTGGTTTGGTTTGTCTGCCTGCTTGCTTTCTTGCTTGCTTGCTTGCTTGTTTGTTTGGCTTGTTTGCCTGGCTTGGCTTGGCTTGGCTTGGCGTGGCTTGGTTTGGTGTGGTTGTCTGCTTGTTTGCTTGCTCGTTTGTTTACTTGCATTTCGTTTCCGTTTGTGCTTATGTGTTCTTGTGTGTGCTTATGTGTGCGCATGTGTGCTTCTGTGTACTTATATGTGGGTAGCGGGTAGTGTCCATGACTTTGTCGTTGAGAATTGAATCCAAGATGCTGGGCAGCAAAAGAAGCAGTGCGTACTGCGGATTGACAGCACCCATGTGGAATCTCCAATCCGGCCCCTATTTTGGGTTCCATGTAAAAAGCAGGTGTAGTCTGGGATGTGCGTACTACGTAGAGTCGAGCCGTTCGCTGAGGGCACGGCCTCGTGCACGATGAGCCATTGCTGAGGGTCCTTGACAGCTGCTTCACATCGATTTGGATGCTATGCAGCAACTCTGTACGGCAGCAACCGACCATGGGCTGGGATAGTTTCCTGGACAGCTACTTCATCAGACTTCAATTCTCTGCTATTTTATGGCGAGCTCACTGATCCGGGTCTGAAACAAGCTCATGCTCTTTGCTTGGGGAGCCAATCTTGTTTCAGGTCCCTTTGAATTCAAGTGGGCGAAGCCATGGCTGATAGCCATGACATAACACTTGTGCATGATGCAATATATATATATATATATATATGTATTTATGAATTTATTTTGAACTTGCCATCACTGCGAGAATCCCTTGACACCTAAATCGATTTGCGATGACCAAACAACCAACACCTACTCTTGGTTGGAGCATTTGGAGGAGGAACCGACACAAAACCTCGCGGTTCTGGTTCTGGCACGTTTTGAACCCCTGCAGTGGGTTGTAACCACAAGTTACTAAGCCGTGAATTGACAGACCTGGAAAGAAAATGGGCCTTCGGTTTCCTCTGGGGGGACCTAGCTGCCTAGCTTTCCGGGCAACTTTCACATGCGGCTTGCCTCGCCAAGCCAAAGAAGCACAGGCACAGGCCACCAGTTTCTAACTCGAGACGTGGCGTCAAGCCTGGCAAGTGGCCTCCTTGGCCAACTCGCTCCCAATCCAACGACGGTTTTTTGGACAGCGCTTGGCTTGGGCAAGGCATGGGAAAAGGCAGCGTGGGGTCCAAGGTCTCCTTCCAAGGTTTCACGTTCCTTCCCCCCAAAAAGACCTTTTTTGCGGGTTAAATTGAAACCAAAAGGACACATCATTAACTCCAACCGGGCCACACGCGCCGCGCGGTGAGGAACGCCATGGAGTTCCCGTCCACAGCGGTGCCGGTGGGGCTGCACCAGGCGAGAGGTTTACCGCGGCGGCAGCCCCCTGAGGTTGCTAGGGCTTTAGGTTTTCATTAGATGAAGCATCTCCTTCTCCTGACCGAAAAATACCAGAAATGAAAAGGTTAGGTGGAAGAAAGAGATGAATGTGACCGCTCCAAGTCTTCTATACAAATCCTTCATGTGGGAGCGGGTTATGAATGGAGATAATTTATTCATAAGTGGTCAGGCTTCTTCTTCATTTTTAGGCGTGACCTCATCTCCATTCATTATCTTATTCCTCACTCTCTCCGAGCCTTGTTCATCCCTTCGGTCGAGAGGCTTGGATGTGAGGAATAAAGACATATTTCATGGTCACACAGTCCTTAGGTCGCTTCTAGAGCTTCCCCAGCTTTTGGATCTGCCGCTGGTTGTAGGATCTCTGTTCACCCACCGGTCATTTCCTTCTTTTTAGCCGGTGATAGCGACATAGCGACGCAAGGAATAGACACCGGCCTTTCAAGAGATTATTCATTGGGCCGGATCTGGTAGCTGCAGTTCAGGGATGGGGATATGCCGCGAGAATGGAAAAGAGAGAGATAGGAGATGAACAATGGAGGATTCTATTACTCTCATCGCTTCGCCCTCCATTTCTTCTCTCGTTCCCTCAACCACTAAAAATTACACTGTTTAGCAGGGATCTGGAAACAGCCCAGTTTGGAGGCCGGGCTTTCTGCTCAGCCCACAGCGAATGGGCCTGATCTGCCATTTAGTTTCCCCTTTTTGGGTTCCCATTTTCAGTGGCCCTGCAAGGTGAGTCATTCGCTTGTGACGCTCTTTTGCTCGTCGCTTGCCCTCCTTTGACCCCATCCCCAACCCCCCCCCCCTCACCCCCACCCCCCACCCCACTCCCCCCCCCCCCCGCCCCCGCCCCCGGCCCCCGGCCCCCGCCCCCGCCCCCGCCCCCACCCCCAGCCCCTGCCCCCCGCCCCGCCCCGCCCCACCCCACCCCAACCCCACCCCACCCCACCCCCACCCCACCCCACCCCACCCCACCCCACCCCACCCCACTCCACCCCACCCCACCCCACCCCACCCCACCCCACCCCACCCCACCCCACCCCCCACCCCACCCCACCCCACCCCACCCCACCCCACCCCACCCCACCCCACCCCACCCCACCCCACCCCACCCCACCCCACCCCACCCCACCCCACCCCACCCCACCCCACCCCACCCCACCCCACCCCACCCCACCCCACCCCACCCCATGATGATGGCGCATGCCAAGTTGCTTCGATCGTTAGCGCGCCGCCGCCCATGATGACGGTAATGAGAATTGCGCTGGCGTGTGCAGGTGTGCAAGGTGTTTTGAACGTGAGCACACCCCACCCCACCCCCAGCCCAGCGCAGCCTACCCCACGACGAGGACGCGTGTGTTGCAAGTGGTCGGCCAAAACGTAGGCACCATTTGCGTCGCAAGTGATCGGAAAAATGCATCGCGAGTGGCTGGTAGACGCTCTGAACATGCCCAAAAGCCAGACAAAACGGATGCAGAGCAATGCAAACAGCTGAGTTTTGATCGCGCACCGTTCTGGCAGCTGTGGTGTCTTTGTCATGCTACATGCGCACGCACACACACACACAGGACCATTTGGTACTAACATGTTGAAACTTTGCTTACAATTACTTTTGAGCAGAGATAGCATTTTGGCAGCTGTCCTGATCGAATGGAGAGTGCCGCAGGGCACCCAGCCCTGGCACAGGCGATTGTGACGTCCAGCTTTTCAGACCGAGGTGGGTGTAAGGGCTCACTGGCCTGCAGCCATTGTGCTGCAGCTGGGCTGCGCAGCCTTCATTTGCACAGATGAGGCGTGCGACGCACGGTGATGCCGCTTTAAGCCTGGGGGTCAGGTGGAAGCTCGCCCTGCGGCGCACGATGTTGCTGCAGGGTTTGACGGAGGCGTGACGTTGACCACCGTGCGGGCTTTGCGACAAGTGAGTGGGCTTGTTATGAAGCTTGCCGTGAGCTTTAGAGTTGTGCATGGCCCGTGTGTGGTATGATGTGTCGCCGCCTTTCCTACCCTGTGTCCATCCCTAAAGTTTAAAGAGCATCTCCACTGCAGCTTGGCACGCGCGCGCAGGGTCAATGCAAGTGTAGGCAGACACGTGCAGAAGCCGCTTGATGCGCCCGACCCGCCCAGGGGCAGGCGCAAAAGGCCAATAATTCGCGCAGGTTTCAGCAGCTGACATTGGTTTGCCGTCGTTGTTGAGTTTGCCGCTGCAGTCAAAGCTTTGGTTTTGTTGTCTGAGTTTTGAGCGTCTTTCATGATGGCAGTGGTAGTGGCAGTCAGGTGTATTAATGTCGGTTGGATGGACAGCTTAAGATCGTTTTGGAGAGAGAGGCGTTTGCTTTTCTCGTCGCTTGTGACCCTGTCCTTCGATTGCTCTCCCGCAACGCAGCTCACCCAACATCCCGTCCACCCCGTCAGCCTCTCAGGGGTCGCCCCCTCCTCCAGTGTAATTAGCTCTTGTGCACCTAGACTGCATGATGATGGTGATGAGGATCGTGCAAATGGTTTCGATCGTTAGCCCGCTCCATGATGCAGGTGCAAGTGCGCATAGCGGTTTCGAACGTTAGCGCGCCCGAGCCCAGCCCAGCCCACCCATGACAATTGTGATGAGTCGCGCTGGTGTGCGCTGGTGTTTACACCACCCTACCGCCCATGATACAAGTGGCTTCCAATGTGAGGCCGGCCAGCGCAGCACGTTTGTGTTGAACATGATCGGCCAAAAAGGGAGGCATTTTTCTCGCAAGTGCTCGAGAGACATGTGTCGTTAGTGAGTTTGGGTTCACCCTTAACCTTTTATTTGTGGGCCCTTTGGGCACCTGAATGGGGGTACGCGTCCTTTTGGCAGCCATGAATTTTGGGGTAGTTTTTTGAGGGGGGATTCCAATGTGCTCATGGTCTTTGGAATCTATTTGTTCTGTTTTTTTTTTTTTCGGAATTTCCAATTGTAAGATAGGGGCCGGTACAGCGACCGTCCCTTCTGTTTGAGTGTTCCCTCCTTGGGTTTGCGGGAAAAGGGGTTGGTTGATTTGCTTGGTACCAAAAAAACCCAGAGATGGTCGAAAAATATGGATGGGACTTCTTCAAACATGAGTGGTGTACCCAAAAATTGGGTAATATGCGGTCCTTGCTTGGGGTTCTAAAGCATAGTTCCTTGACAAGAGTTCATCCACAAGGTTGACCTGGGGAGCCAAGTCCGTTCGCATGAGGTCCCTTCAAAAGATGACCTTCCTTCTAGCGGATAGCCACCACTTGCGGATAGGTGAACAGTAGGGTCGGATCCATGGTGCACTCCCTCAGGCTAGACAAATAGTTTGGTTTTGACGGGATCTAAGAGTTTCTCAGGGTTGAAAATGGGTGGATTCTTGAGGGAATCAACGCCATTTTCGGGGCTGCTCCGAGTTCCTCAAGATGATCAAGCCACACGTGCCAGACTGAACTAACATTGAGAGTTTCTTGCCGTTTTGGTTTTCCTTCATTCCCTTTCATCCTTTCAGCTGTCAAAGGTTAACTTGTTGCGGGCGGTCCACTTGTCTGGCCGTGGAAAACGGTTTGCTTTTGCCCTGTTCAATCCCATGACAATGACCCAAGAGAACCCAATTATGTAGGCGATGAGTTACTCCTGAAGGGTAACGATGGGTACATGTTCTCAAACTGGGGACCCCTCCAGGTAGGTGGTTTTCTTTTGGCTTCCTTTTAAGACTGTCCCAAAGGGGGTCCCCCATTTTGAGAAATCCCCATCGTATAAACCCCTCAGTTTGAATGGCGGCCTGCTTGAATCCCAGGGTTTGGTTGCCAATCGATCCACCCGAATGAGAGCAAACCAAAGCATTCTTTTCCACCCCTCAAGTTGAATACTTTTTGTATGTCCCCATGTTGAATACCGTTGTGTTTTTCGGGGATCTAAGCAAGAGGGTTGTGGTGGTTTGAAACAGGTGCATATATGTATATATATATATATATGTATGAGATCTAACAGGGTTTGTCTCAAAAATTCAGGAGCCCCAATCTAGGTGGTTTTACCAACACGGGGCCCGAAAAGAAGACGCCCAAGACGCCGGACTCAAACTACCATGAGCACAGTGAGTTTAGTCTAAAAACCATTGTTTGCCTGAGGAGTGTCATCTAAATTTGGGTCCTGACCATTCTTTTCATTGCATCCTGTCCAAAAACGGCACCCCGCACCGAAGGGCGCCCCGGTGGGCGTGCAGATCGTGTCGCTCCCCGGCCACGACGAGCTGACCATCGGCGTGGCCCGGGCGCTGGCGGCGGCTGGGGTGGCGCAGTGCGTGGCGCCCGATGAAGCCTAGGGCCGTGAGCTCAAACCGAGCGGCTGTTTTGCACAAGGCTCTTGGCTTTGACGGACCGGTGGCCATGTTCCATTCAGAATGGCGATAGTGGTAGAAGTTACAGTTGCCGTTGCTTCAAAGGAGGCAAGCGGCGTGTAAGAGGAGCTGCTGCGCTTGCTGCAGTATGGTTTGACAAAAGCGCTTTTCGATGAGTGCAGAGTGTTTTACGGGGGACTCTTCAGAATTCAACCACAAAAAACCATTGTGACGGCACCTCCACATTTTCCTGGTGCCGTCTCAGATTTGTCCAATCGGGTCGAGGCGGCCTTTTGTTGCCTTTGGCTATGCCAAATGCCAAATGCTCATGACAGCTGTCGACATTTACACCGACCTCCCTAAGGCTCGTGACCCCTCCGATGCAGGCCCCCGGGCCCTCCAATGAAGAACCCGAACCCGTCAAGGGGCCTTTGAAAGCAGCCCATGTTGGCTTTAGGGCTAGTACACTTCACCTCTGACCACATCGGCTTCCGCCCGAAAACAAGCCCACGCGATGCCGAATCCTCCACTCGCAGGATTTTCTCGAGTTGCCGCCCCATGCGCATTTATGCCTGGCAGGCAAGCAGGGTGAGCGGGGTGAGCGGGAAGCGCGAGAGAGCGGGAAGCGCCGGGTGGGCGGCAGCGCAACTAAAAGCCGGCTTTGCTTTAGGATAGATCAAGCATGAACCGGAATCAGAACATAATATGGTTTTTGTGTACCCTGTATTTGGGCCAATAATCATATGTTGCAGAACGGTACTCTTCTTCCAGCCAACCAAACTGGGAGACACTTGACTTGAGAGTGGGCTTCTTCGCACGAGACCTTGGTTGGAGAAGGATGTGAGTTTCCGGTTTCCGTAGAATACTTGCCTGACAGCCATGGGGAAAAACATGTGTAAGCTCAATGTCAAAGAACTCTGCCAAGTCCAGTGCTGCTGGTACAAAGCGTAGAGGGAATGCCAGCCGAAGTGAACCCCCGCAGCACGCTGTTGTGTAAATTGCCCCAATCGCTTGAAGCGGGGAACGCCTGAACGATAAGGAGCGAAGTACACAAGCAAAATCCCGGCCACTAAGAGGGGTCCAACTGAATCTCACCCTCGAGGGCCTCCAAAAGGGGCAAATACACACTTCGGAACTCGGCATGTTGGACAATTGAGAGCTTTGCGGCGCAGTTTCGGTGATACCAACGGAATCCCTGTTTAAACGGCACCATATTCATAAGGATGATCCACATGGGTTAACCAAGTGATTTTGCACAACCATGAACTCACCAAAGTGATCTTGCTTGATTTGGGGTCCCTGAGACAGGCAACGTAACCACGGGGTGCTCCGGACCGCCAGGCTCCTGGAATGACAGCTGGGCGCTTTTCTTCGCAGGCGCGACCTCAAGGGTTCACAAGCCCGAAGCGCTCCCAGCCTTTCGGGGCATGGGACAAACAGGGCTCGGGGAGTTGAAACCTCTTTGGATCGGGTGGAAAAAAAAATGAGTCCCTCGGGGGTCTAAAGGTCTGAAGAGAAAATCATGAAATATCAGGAGCTTTGGCGAGCAGTAATTCTGGTTGACCCAAACCCTGTTGGTGCATGAGTGACTTCTTCCCCATGCGGAGTGCAGGTGTGGAAGGATCGCGACAGGCACGGCCACCGGGCGATTCGCTCTCGGGACAATTTGTCTGTATTTACACGCTGACCATGAATCGTTTGAAGGAAATCAATAAACCAGTAGTGGTTTATGCATCTTTAGGGATTGGCGCCCCACCCTGCATGGAAGCTTTTGCAGTCGCGAAGATGATCAGGGTTTCTCCGAATTCTGAAGGATGACCAATCCATGATGGTGGCCCTGATGTCTACCCTTGTGTCCAAGGGTCTTCGGAGCAACCAAGGCATCAGACAACGGACCCATTTGACGGGAAAGTTTTCGGGGAATGCACGACACTTGATGCTTCATGACTGTGTTTGAAGCCAGGGTCATGTTGAAAGCAATCCAGGAACCCTTGGGATTTGTTGCTGTCCTTGTTGCTTTCCGACCTCCATGTTACCTTTGGTCTATGAGTCTATGGGCACACGGCACCGACCTGGGCCCCGTTGGCCAGGTCCTCTTGTGCCGAGTCTCCGGCGTGATCGGCGGCCCAGAGGTGGGGGTCGACAGACCAAGCCAAGAAATCGGCAGAGCCTCAGGTGGAGTCCTGTTTGGTTGTTTTGGCCAATAGACTAAGATGCCGATTTCTGGTTGACCTGGTTGTTTCATCTACCAGGGCCACCTATTTTCCCGATGATCAAAAGGTTCTGAAAAACCATGGCAATGATTGGCCCCTACCGCCATGCAGAAACAGCACACCCACTGAAGAGGGTGACACGAGGGGTTTTGCATGGATGTTCTCCAAACAGCATCGGTGGTCTTTTGGGTAGACACAAGCATGCGCGTCAAACAAACATGAAGCAACATGGTAACTCATCAAAACAAGCTCTCTCAGATTGGCAAAGAAACACTGGAGATCACCCACCTCCAAACCTCCAATCCCATAGGTGTCCCTAGGCTAGTTTGGTTAGAAATAGATGGGTTCCATTGGTTTAGATTGGTTTATTCCATCCAGGGCCATCGATTTTTCCAGACTGGCGCAACCCTGCAAAAGAAACCCTGGGTTGATGATTCGCCTGTACAGGTAAATACCACCGAACAATTGTTTCCCATGGTTTCAAAGTGGTGCAGGCTTTCGTCCATACTATGACCAATCTAAACTGCTTGGCGTTTTGGCGCGATCCGTGCAGGCAGATCTGCGGCTCTGCGACTGCCCGGACTGTTCCGCTCTGGGCTCATGACCCAAACCCCCCGGAAGAGTCCTTCCATTTGCTGAAGAAGATGTTCATTTTCTTTTCTGGTTCTCAAGGAGTCCAACGCTACTGTTTCTGTGTTTGTTTTTTGGGGACTTAAGCAAATGGAAGGACTTGGATCATGATTTTGTTTTGTTTTCTTGGGTTTTTGCCAAAGTCAGACACAAGACGTTTGTATCCCTTTAATCAAGACGACAAAATTACGCGCCAAAAAGACCCCACCAAGCTTCTTGGGTTTGGGGGCGACGCATGTTTCCCACATAGAAAGGAGGTGTGCCCTTTATTTCCACGCCGGTGTACTTGTCTTCAAGTCCCATGCCCCTTCCAGCCCAGACTAGAAACATACTCAGCCGGCAACGCCAAGGGGCATGTAAGGCCACTTCCGAAGTAGGGCCAAGGCCAGGCCTAAGGCCAAGGCCTAAGGGCACGCTTCGGGGTTCTAGTCCCTGAACAACCACTTCCCAAGTGTCAGGACTTCGACAAGGACTTGGGAAGGCAACGGAACCCAAAAGCCAGCTATTTATAGAGGAGGCGTCTATTGGGAGATCCCAAAATGGGGGCTTCATGTGAATCTGCAGGAGAGTAACCGCATCCAAGTGCAGTGAGCCACCTTCAGGGAAAGGGCGACTTTGCATCCAAAATCGAGGCCGGCGAGTCGTTGAGCTTTGTCAGCCGCCGCAGTCCCGGGCCTATGTCATGGGTTAAGCATTGTGCGCAGCTGAGGGCGTATCCCGAATGGTTTCAACCCAAAATCCATGTGTAGGTATGTACATGTATTTTAAATAAGAACCATATACACTCATATAACTGGTAGAAAGACACACGGGGTATGGTTTGAGAGGTACTTTGGGGTACAATTCTTGGGGTACACGACATCGGTCCATGAATGCCACCTGAACCCTGCTTCAGGTGTATCCCGAAAGGGAAACCAGTAGCCCGCGTTGGTTATGTACCAATTCGACGCTACAAAGCAGATTACATACAGTCTGGAGCGGTTAGGGGTGCACCATGTGAGGTCTACATGACTGCCCTTGAGTTTCCTGTCCTGTTCGCAGCCTTTTCGAGGGCTCGAGCCAGGCAGAAGGGTGCAAAGACATATGATACAGGGCCTTGAGCAAACCGTCGATACTGTTGTCCGTTTGTACTGGCTACCGAAGCCGGAAAGTGGATTCAGTTTCCTATTTCTGCTGGCCAAATCACGAAGCCAGTTAGATGCACAAGAAAGGTTTGGATGCCGAATGGGAGAAGCTTTGAGGCAACATGAGGCCTTGCCATTTGACTTGTCAGGTAGTCTCACAGGTACCCCCCAGCCTCTTGTAAGAGCCTGCAAACGGTGGGGACCACCAGCCTGGCTTCCGGTTGCCACAAGAACTTTGCGGACAGTGACAGCATGGGCCCCTACTAAAAAGCATCCAGCCAAAAACTCTGAGTTTTTCCCACAGCCTCTTGAAGGCTGGTTATTTGCCTTCCCCAGCTTCTTTTGAAACTGGAGAGATGCCTTTTTCTGAGCAAAAAGCACGTGGCCAAGAAAACAAACGATTTCCCACCCCAATGGCACTGGCGGCGCCTCGCGCCGTGGCCGGCGCCCCCCGAACCGCCCCGGGACCCCGCTGGCACTTCTGCGGGCCGCGCGGGCGCGGAGCGCCGCGGGCCCAAAGATGGCCGGCGCTGCGAGCGGCGGAGGCAGATGCGGAGATGCGGAGCATCAGGTGTTGATTGAGATCCACTTTGACATCGGTTTGCTTGAAGTCGATCTGTTGTTTGGATTATATGATTGATGATGCCCTAGCCATTGTGTGTGTTTTTTTTGGGTGAAGCAAGTCTTTTGTGTTTTTGTGTTGTACATTCCCTGAGGGTCTGGCAGCCATTGCAGCCCTGTCTCGCTTGAAGAGCCCGCGCCGGAAGGCGGGAGGGGGGGGGGACCGCTGCTCCACTTGGAACCGAAAAGGCATTTACCCTACAGGGGTCAATCCAAACCACCAACTAAGCCTTACCATGCTTACCTGAGAAAAAAAAGGCAACTGGCCTCATGGGTCTTCTTGATGTCATTCACAGAAAGTCCCATGCTGCTCAGGGATCCTTCTGGAAGATTCTGAGAAACATGGAGCCAAATCAGAAGCTCAAACATGGCACGCGTTTTGTCTATCGCAAAAGCTCACCCTGAAAACCATTCACCACAAATGTCGCGGTCGAGGCTCCACTGGAGTCACAACGAACACCCCGCCGCCAAGATGTTGCCCGAAGCTATTAAGGAATGTAGGGCTATTCCTTACAGTACCCCCCCCACCCATTGTAAATGGTTCTTAAAAACCCGTCCGGAAGCCTAGATGTTTAAAGGAGGATCTTAATGAAAGCAAAACTGTGGTTTGCATATGAAACAAATTAGGGTTCCCCAATGTTTCTCCTTTGGGTTGGTTACATCAACTTGTGGGCCCCGAGGTTTGTTTACTTTTCAGGAACTGTGGATGGGTGCGAAATCCATCAACCGCACCACTTTGAGACCATGGTGGAAACCATACCATGGTGGAAACCATTGTCTGTTGAGACACTTCCAGGGTTTCTGAAAAAGTCGAAATGGCATTTCGCACCTTCCACAGTATTGAAAGAGGACACCTCCGAGTGCATGCCAACTTCAGGTCTTTTGCAAAGGGACGAATTCGACCGGTTCAGGTCCTGGTAGGCTTGGGCAATGCGTGCGGCGCGCTGGCGCTGCAACAAGCAGTTGCTGAGACTGGGAGGACCGACGTCTTCGGGGCGGGGTGACACAAAATGACCCCGCAAGCTCCAAATACCCACTGTTTGTTGGCTTTTCATCGAAAATACAACTTTTCATGCGGTGTATTTTCTGAAAACATATGGCTGGTCATGGAAAATGCAACTGTTGGTTGGTCAGCGGATGGCATTTTACCCCCAAAAGTGCCAACCCAAAATCACTTTTACGAAAGCGAGAAAGTAATCAACAACTAAACGGTCCCACAGAAAAGGATTGTTTTCCACAGGGACAACCCGGCGGGTTGTCCAGAAGTGAAAAGGAAATGCTGGATCCGTTGGGATGTTGCGTTCTAGGGGAGAGCCAGTTGTTGGTGTTTGGCCAAAAGGGCGTCCCAACCATTTGCTGGGCCCCCCAAAAATACTGCTACTCCTCAAACTTTGAATTTGAAAGATGCCCTGAACCTGGTTTTGGGCTAATCGGCGTGTTTCTTTTACAGAAAAGTACGATCTTGGGAATCTTGTGCGCACTCATCAAGTGACGAAACTTGGGAAACCAACAGCCAAATAGCTCAGGATTGTTTGCTCTCCTACAAGGTTCCATTCACAAGTCTTGGACGCGGCATGGCTAAACAGTTGGTTTACGGTTTTTCACCAGATCGCCATGTAGCCATGCATCAAGAGTTCTTCCCGACCCTTGGTGCAACTTTGTCAGTCTCCTTCCAACTGTACCCTCTGTTTATCCGCAAAAGATTGAATTGTCTTAAAATAGGTGGACCGGGTTGTTTCCCAGTATCTTCGCCTTTAAAGCCAACCAAAAGGGGGTTCCCCTAAATACAGACACTCGCTGACAGCTGCAAGCGCCGGCTGCAAGCGCTTTCTGTTAGGACCGAGGCCGAGGTCTTCCGGGGGGAGGTTGCCAAGAGCCCCATGGATTCCCGGAGCTACCGGGCCCTGACCTTGGCCAACGGCATGAAGGCGGGGCCCGAGGGCCCGAGGGCCCGGCCCTGCGCGCGGTGGCGAACGCGCCTTTGGGTGGGGCCCATGGCTGGGATTTTCCGTTGTGTGCTTGTGTGTTTCCGTTGTGTGCTTTTCCGTTGCTAGCCTCCCCACCCAAAAACCGACGACCCCCCCGGCAAGCGCGACAGGTGCTCCTGGCCTCGGACCCTGAGGCCGTGACCAGCGCGGGGGCGCTCTCGGTGCACGCTGGCTTCTACTCGGACCCCGAGGTGCGCCGAATGGACGAGTGGACCCCAAGTGGGCCATCCCTGGGATTCCTTCCCTTAGGCTCAGGCTGGAAGTCTTGTTCATTTTTACCCTTGTTGGTGAAGGGAATCTATGACTGGACAGCTTCTCATTTTTTGGCAGGGGACTTGAGCAGATGGATGGTTCAGATGACCTGCTTTTACAACCAAGCAAAAGGGTTCTGCAAAGGCCCACACCCATTAAAGCAATTGGGGTTAAAGGAATCACCATTTGTTTACCTTTCAACAGTTTCATGATCTAACTTGGGCCAACCAACCATTCTGATGCGGGTTGGACCCTAGGCATCCTTTGGGGGGTAGCAAAGTCGGAAACTGAGCATGTTCCCAGGGGATGTTCTTGAGGGGTATTGCCAGCTGGCGGATTTCTAGCAGCATGTTCCCCAGTGATTTGGACAATGATCGAAAATGGGTTGCCCCCAAGGAATCAACCAGGGTGAGTTTATTCTGATGATGAATGGGTTGCGAGCTCACCGTGCTGTGCAGGACCCTATGACGCGTACAAGTGTTCAGTTGTCTTTTTGTGTTTGTTTGTTTGTTTGTTTGTTAGTTTTGCTTGTCTGTTTGTCTGTCTGTCTGTTCTGTTTGTTTGTTTGTTTGTTTGTTTGTTTGCTTGTCTGTCTGTCTGTCTGTCTGTCTGTCTTTTTGTTTGTTGTTTTGTTTGGTTGGTTGGTTGATTGTTTGTTTGCCCCTCTCCGGCCTTTGTGACTGCACCGGGTCTTGCGAAAGCAGTTTGTGACACCGCGTGCAAGTGCTCCTTCCATTCGGCCGGATACAGTGCTTTCAAGACGTTTGTACTGCCTGAAACACTGCCTGTCTCATTGAAATCAGACAAGCGCGGGCGATTTTGGAATTGCTGTAGAATTACAGATCCTTTATACTTGTGGGTCTACCTCCTTTTTGGACGGGGTTTGAAGGGAGACCAAAAGGGAAAACTACTGTGGATGGTTACAAAATCCACAAAACAGCCAGTTGGGATTCGTGGGTTGTCAACCAGCATTCAAATCCGTTTTAATCCATCAACCGTTGGGTTTTAAAATATTTTGTCCATCCACATGACTGCAGACTGAACCATCCAACTGCTGGTTTCCTTCGTGGGAATTCCAAACGCTTCATTTCCAACCCCCGGGTGATTCCCTGACCTGCAAGTAATTACTGGCCTCTTTTGGGGGACCTCTTCTCAGTTTTTTTCGAGGGATTTCAGGACGCTATTACCACAAGGGTTTGTTTGGCCAACCCAGTGGGATTTTTCGACCACATGATACGGAGCCTCCCCTGGAAGTGAATCGGCGCCTATTTTTTCTTTTTTGGGGACACCCTCGCAAATGGTGGACACAAATGCCCATGTTTTATAATGCTCACCGAAGGGTTCCGGATTCCGGACTCCAGAAATTACCACCACTTTGTGGCTTCCACCCCCAGGACTTGCCGGGCCTGGCGCACTTCTGCGAGCGACCCGGAGGGGTTCGTTTGGGACAAAAAGGGGCAGGTTGAATAGGGCCCTATTGGTTTCTGGCTTGTTCAAGACGAGGGAATTAAGCTGATCACGGCTTGTGATTAGGCCCCAATGGATTTCGATCAGGCTATATGTCCCTCTTCGAGGGCTTTGTTCGGAAATTTGGAGAGGGGTTCTTTTGTTGGGATGCTTAACTGGGACTGTTGCAGGAACGTCAAGCCCAGAAACACCGGCAAGGGAAGTTTACCAATGGTGCCGAAAGAAAGGCATCATTGGCGACCTCTGGCTCAAGTCTCATCACTCCTGGCAATCCTTTTGTGGCCAACAGTCGGTTTCTCCAAGTCCGATAGAGGCTTGTTTGCCTAGGTCGCCGGGGTCCTTGGGACCTTTTTCGGTTCAGAATCTCCTTCCCCGGAACTTTTTTTTTTTTTGGGAGCTCCCGTGTTTGTTGCCCACCCGGGTGGTCTTCAACGTACTGGTGCTGTGATGCTTGATGGCAACCCGCAACTCACTCATTCTTTCCGGCTTTCACTATCAGAATCCACGAGGTGTGGGTTTTTCTTTTGTGGGACCGCCGAGAGAAAACACGAACATGAAAGTGTCCGACCACTCACCAGCAACACGGTGTTTCATTTTGCGTGGGTTAGTTGGACCAACCCCAAAGTGGCACTTCACCACCAAAACCACTGGGGCTAATCTAACCATCATGGTTTGCCTCAGGAGTGTCATCATCTAAATTGGGTCAATGCGTATGGGGGTTGAACCCTAGGGTCTGCATTTCAAGGACTTAGCATGGCTGCGAATTTAAGCTTCAGTTGGGTTTAGTTGGGTTTTAAGTTTTAGTTGGGTTTTAGTTAGTTTTAGTTGGGTTTTAGTAGTTTTAGTTGGCTAGTTTGCGATTTTGCTCTCAGACCTCACGACTTTTGCTCACGGGCAATTGGTAGACCGCCTTTACCCTCCCGGAAATCGGACGAGCGAAACAAATCCACGGGATGGGCAAAGCAAGCGGTTCTGGGCTCCATAAATTCTGGTTTCTATCTTTGGGACTGCCAGGCACCCGCAAACAACTTGTTTCTCAGAGATGTGATTTTTGTTTGCCCTTATACACGGGTATGCAACTCAAAATACGGATTTCCTCTTTTCTCAAGCGGAATTTTCTGGCTGAGGCACATGCTGTTCCTGGGTACCAAAGAGTACCCCGAAGAGAACTCCTTCGAATCCTTCCTGGACGAGAATTCTGGAAACCAGAATGCCTTTACAGCAGTGTCCTGGCACACGATTTGGTCTCCAAAGGGTCGGATCCGTAGTTTTTCGGGATCCCCTTCACTTGAGAGCGTTCCCAAATGTTGGGCACTGATGGGTTGCCAAAACAGACACCCGCTTGGAAAGGGTATGCCAACTCTTTCGCTTGCGCCCAAAATCCAACGAAAGTTGGCCATCTCGAGGTTTCTGCTATCTGGATTTGCCGGGGTTTTGGGCGCTATGAGCTTTGAATGCGTCTAAGGAGAATGCGACCACCTACTTTTTCGAGGTGTCACCGAGCATCTTGGACGACCGACCCCTTCAAACCACAATGTGGATTTGCAAATGAGGGGGACCTCCATTGATTCTTTTTTTCTCCTGACTTCCGTTTAGAACCAACCAAAACGGGCTTCCCCAGAAAAGACACTTACCTCATGTGGGAGTGATACTTGACTTGCCCTAAGGCTCCAAGATACATCGCAGAAGGTAACCAGGGATGTTCCCATTTTCAATTGTTTACCCTCTGATGTCATGGTTTCAAGCGCTTGTTGGCCCTTGGTTTTTCTGGGTTTCTATGATTTCAACGGTGGTTCCCTACTGTAGTTAAAAGGGGTTGCTCTAGATTACTTCTTCTCCGGGTTGCTTATTCTTTGGTTTTGCACCTCAAAGCCTGAGATACCCATTTGTTAGAACCCAAGGGTCACCCAATGAAAGTGGACAGGTCAGAGTCGGCTTCTGCAAAACCATCCATTTTTTCCGTGGGCGCGTAGCTGTTTGTAGAGACCAACCGAGTAGAAAGCGGTCAGAAAGAAGCATATCGACCCTTTCGGAAGGGACGAAAGCGATCTTGCTGTCTTAAACAGTCTCGACTGACTCCCACTTACGAGCAGGCTTGCTAGCAGGTGGTCAACCATAGCAATGTACTCCCAGGTCTTCACAGGGACAAGTCCGCCATCATGATTACACTATCAGGTTAGGACTTGTTGTTCCGCCACCATAAAGAACCATTTATTTCGAAGGAGCACTTTCAACAGTGTCTGAAAAGGCCAAGTGTCCTTTGATTAGTTGGGTAACCAACTTTCTTTTGGGAAGAACATCCCAACCTGCACCACAATGCGTACCAGTCAAATAGCCCATCGAACATTGAGTAACCACATCGGGATTCGAACATTGAGTAACATTCTAATCACCAACCAAAATCGGGATTCCGGTCCCAAGCAAAAACAAGACACCCCCACCCTCCCCAGCAGAATCGCTCCCCCCGAACTGAACCAAAATGCCACGGTGGCATCCCCAACAGAACCCCCCCGGCGCCGCTCCCAACCCGGGGCTTGGGCGGAGACCCCTCCGCAAGGCGCGCTGCTGGAATCTCTGAAGCGCTTCAGCAGCTTCTTCCGGGAGCCCCTCTTCACCCCCTCCGCCACGGAGCGTGAGGCCGGGCGTTTCGCGTGCCGGGCGCGTTTGGGTCGCTCGGGGAAGTGGCAGTACCAGCCATGAAAAATATCATCGGATATCTCTGTTGTGCCAAAACTGGGTGTGGGATAGCGCGTCGGATTCTTTAGATGACTTTGGGCAGACTAATCTGATAGTGGGCTTTGATCCAAACTTGCACTTGCGAGCATACCGATCCGGGGGTCAAAGGAGCGAGTACGCAGGTTTCCTCAGAGACTCATAGACTTGTGAATTCAGGTCTGTTAAAAGTGGTTAGCGCGAGCTGGACGACAATACTATAAGGGCCCAATTCATTAGCATGGGGTGGTGGGGTACTTTGAAGCCAATTTGCGCCAAGTGGTAGACTACTTGTAATCATGTTGGCCCTTATACTAGGATCGAATCGGAAGGAGCTCACCAAAAGCCGCTAAAGTGAAGGCCCGTTGCCTTCAAAACATTTCGCCGGGAAATCGCTTTGGTTCGCCGGTCATTTGCTGGTGCCATCTCTGTTTCCAGAAGGAAGCGCAGGAGAGTATGAGGGGGATGCGGTGGGTGTTGGCCAGGGTTCTTGTTGCCTGATGTTATTGTTGGTTGCTATTCTGCTTCTGATGTTTGGTGTGTGTTCATTTGATATTATGTTGGATGTGTTGGCTCTTTTGTTCAATATCTCTTGGTAACTAGTCTGTTGTTGTTGCTTTTGTTTTGTTGCTTCCTCGATACTATTTGCTGTGTTGTGTTTAAGTAGATGTTCTTGTTGTGTGATTAAGACAAATGGTTTGCTCATGTCTATTTTTTATTGAACTGTGTGTGCCGTTTGTTTTACGGGTGCTTTTGGTGTGTGTGTGTGTGTGTGTGTGTGTTTCGCGTCTTGAATTCGCTTCCTTCAGTTGTGTTTTGTTGATTGGTTGAATTTGTGTGTCGATTCGTTTTCCGTTTTTGCCAGTTTCTGCTCATTCAATTTTGTGTGTTTTGTTTAGAATTTGCCTTGCACTTGTTTGCTTTGCTCTTTTTTTGGCGGCGAGCTTTTTGTGCTCTTTTTGCTTGTCATACATATGTATTCGTGTTATAGGGGTGTCCTTTTAAACTCAGGGACATCCTTTTGAACTTATTGTCATTCGGACCAATCTGAAGCCGACAGGGGGCTGGCTACTTTTGACAACCTTAACGAATGCTTTTACCAGCTGCGTTCCAGGATGTTTGGAGCCACAATATCATATATATATATATACATTAATATGGATTTTGCAAGACATTACAATTGTGCACCGTTCCAGGCTGGAAACTTGGTTTGGTTTGCTTTGGTTGTCCTTTTGAAGAGCCATTTTGCCCACTTGTGCAGGGATTCCGGAGCGGCCATGGATGGCTTATTCGATGTTTCAGGCCTTGGTTTCCCAGTGAGTTCCCAATGCTTTGGCCTCCAAGTGTTTGCCTTTGATTTTTTCCAAACTCGTCATCTAGTTTTTGTTCCCTTCGCAGAATGCAGTGCTGCGCCTTGATCGTGCCAGGTGGGAGCGATTGACTCAGAGTTTGCCAAGAACCGGGAAAACGACGCTTGTCTTATTAGATTCATCGCTTTGCAGCAGGCAATCCCCCACCCCAAGACATTCTATGGGGGGCATGAACAAATGCAGGAGCACTTACCTCGGGGTTTCAGGCTCTCTGTATATTTTGTTGTCATGACCTTTTGGCCAGGCGATTTTGTGTGTGTGACTTCCCTTTGGGTGGTTTCGAAATATTGCTGAATCAGCACTTGCCCGAAGCATCATTGGGACCCTCCATTGGGGTGGGCGATTCACGGTCACTTTTGCGATTCGGTAAATGCCGTTTTACCCACAACGGTTTTCCATGTTTGAATTGATTGACCCTAGAGCTCTCAACTACCCACCAGCCTTGTACCTGCCCCCCTTGAGGATTCCAGAATCAGGTGTCACTGGATTTCTCCGATGAAAAGTTGCAATTCTCCCGGGTTTTGCCACACAAACTGCCACCTCGGAGGTGCCCAAAGGGGAAATGGAGGAAACCCTGATCACGAGCTGCTCGGTGTGTTTCCCTGCGGAGCTGTCCTCAAGGACGGCTTCCGGTTGCAGCAGCTGCTGAAGAGCACAGCGGCCTCAAACCACCCGGAGACGCACTTCGGGTGCGGCAACCGCCAGACGCTGCTGAAGAAAGGCCCTTAGCGCAGGGGTCCCTTTTTCCCCAGTTGGTGGTGTTAAACATCACTTATGGTGGTCCATCTGTCGCGAGTTTCCCTTGCTACGGGTGATGTTTTGAGGGAATAAAGGGAACCCTGAAGAGGAGGTCCCTGCAACATTTTGACTTTTTACCTCCCAAAGTGGGAAGTATTGCTGAAGCTCACGAGTAAACTGCAACTTGTGATTGGCGAAATCCAGTGACTTTTGAAAGATCCCATTTGATTCAACGCTCACCGATTCAACATGGGCCATAGTGAGTGCACAGATCTACTACCTGGGTCAATTGGGGTTATAGTCAGGCCAAGAACCTTTTCATCCATCTTTGCACGAAAGTTACTGGGTTTGGCTTGCTCATCAGATTCTTTTCGGCCCCTTTGACCCCCTTCCCTCGTTAATCACCCGGACGGCCAAAGGGGTCCAAACATGAGGCAGACCTTGACCTAAGGGGCCTTTTTCTTAAATTTGTTGCCTTTCAGGTTCAGTTTGTGCTTTTGGGAGGGAAACACCTATCAGGTAGCTCTTAATTGGTGTTGGTTTGAATCCGTGTGGGTACCCTTTGCAGGGGTGGTTTTAAAGGGAAACCCAAAGGACACCACCCACTTTGGAGGTTTCAATTCCTAGTGTGAGACACCCCTTTTGAGGATTCTTTAGGGTATTTATTCTTAAACAACAAAAGAAGCAAAAGGAATCCACTTCGAGGTTTGAGACAATCTCCAGGGAAGCTGAACCTAGAGGAGGCCTCCGATTTTTCCGACGTCGCGTCCTCTGTTTCGCAGGCCCGGAGGAGCTGCGGCGGCGGCTGCAGGACTTCTTCGAGGCCTACGACCCCAGCGCCATGGCGCTCTGTGTGGTGGCCAAGGAGCATCGGATCGGATCAAAACCCGGACAGGCACGTGCTCAAAACCCGGCTAGATGAAGATTAGTAAGAGCCAAGCCCAGCCAGAAATAGCTGCGGATATCCGCCTTCTTAAGTCTTTGGTTCTGGGTTCACCATTGTAATACCGGGTTTTGCTTGTGGCTCACATGCCTTGGATCCGAGACCGGGTGGTGGAATGAAGCGGAAGTAAGGGCATTCCCTGGTTCGGGTTCCCTCAGCTGAGAACCAGCAGGTGGGGAAACCCCAGAGGTTGGATCTGGTGAGTCTCTGTGCTTTGGGTGGGCAAGTTCTTCGGAGCCGATTTTTGCTGTGGACCTGGGAATGCTACACCTGAGTTCACTCGATCTTGCTGAATAGCAAGATGTATGGCCAAATCGCCGCTTTGCCGGAAGCTTGGCTGGCCATCTTCAAAAGAACGGTCCCCGCTTCCATCTGAGAGGATCTCCGAAGGACAGATGCTTGATCCTCAAAATAGCTGGCTGCATCCCCCGCCCCCCCCCCCCCACGCCTCATCGGCGAGAGGAGCCCTTAGCCCAATTGCAGTCCACGGTGGAGAAGTTCTTTGGGCCCATCCCGCGGCGGACGACTTCCGCCGCTTCGGTGTCGCCCTGGGCTGGGGTGAATCCCTACCCCCCGCGCACCTGGGCCGCAACTTACAAACGGGGCTAGGCACGTGCCAGCCAACTCCTTGGAAGACCTGGAAGGAACAAAGAGAATTGCCCTCGCAGGAGCCAAAAGTGTTTCTTTCCCCCCAAAATGCAGCTGAAATCAGAAGCAAGGTGCTCTAAAGACCCATGTCAAGACACGGCTTTACCAGCACCCATGTTGCAAGCGATGCTGCATATATTGCGCTGGTAGTCAAAGACTCATTTGTTTTGCTTTGTTGATCCAAGTTTTAATGTTTGTCAGCCACCACAGGCATCTTGTCCACTTCCGTGGTTGTCTGTGTCAGAATCAACTGGCCATGTCGACATAGCTGGTTTTATTCTTTTGGGTCAGGGTGTAAGCGAGGTTGTATGATTTCAGGTTCTCTTGGAAGCCTGCCGCATCGTTTCATCTCTAAATGAGGAACCCCATGGAAGCCTATCCCGAAACAGGTACCGAGCTTCCAGCAAAAATACAGCAGAAATCCATTGGGCCGCAAACGGCCAGTTTCGGCACCATTTTGTTAAGGTCCCACAATCATTGCCTGATTGAAAGTTGTGTGGTTATCGCAATGCTTAATACTTTCCGTGGACAGAGGATGACGTTGGAAGCGCTCACCAGGTTGATTGGGAAAAGGGTTCGTTCACCAAAAAGGATCTTTTTCTTCAACCGCTCCTTTTCTCCCAAGAGTCCCATTTTGCCGGGGAGCACTCACCTAATTTTTGGGAGGTTCCCCGAGGGAACCTCAAAAGACTGAAACCATTTGCATTCCCTGGAGGGGCGCACATCCGTTTGACAGATTAGAACTGCTCTGGCAGTAAACACGAGCTCACCCATGAGGAAGGTCACTTGGGGATTCCTCATGTTCGTTTCCAGTCACTTGTATTTTCGGTTGTTTTCTGGTATTTTCTTTCATTTTCGGTTGTTTTCTGGTAGTTGCTAGATTGCATTTTTCAACATGTTCTGGCATGTTGCGGTATTTCGCCGACTTCTGCGCTTTCCAACATGTTTGGGCCCTCCCTGCAAGTGGGCGTAGAAAGAAACGCTGCTGAACAAGTCCCCTCTGCTTTCCCCGGTTCAACGACATGGCCTTGGGGCCTTGGATGAAGCTGACGGGAAAAAGTGTGGTTAGGTACATCAACCATTGGAACCTCAGAGTCCCGAGACCCGTCAGAGGAATCCACCGGCAAATCGAAGCGCATCAGCTGAGAGGCTTGTCGAAGCGCGGGGTGCCGCTGGTGCTGGAGGCGGTGCCGGTGTCGCAGGCCCGTACCCTGGCGGAATCCAGATCCGAAGCCGGATCCACGGCAGGTTTTCCGCTTTTGGCATTGTTTGCTTTATGTTTTGTTTTTTGTTGGCTTCGGTTTTGTTGTTTGGTTTTGAGTTGTTTGTGCTTGTGGTTCTTTTTTGACATTTGTCTTCTTGGCGGTTATTAGTGCGAACAGCATGGTGACCCTTTCAGCTGTCAGTCGAAAAGCAAACTTGAGTGCAGTAATTGTTCAACACATATTTACATGTCCTTCCTTTTTTTGGGGGTTGGAAGTGTCGCTGGGGACCTTTCAGCTGCTCCCCAGAAGATTGACATAGAGCCAAACAATCACCATCATTGAGCAAACCACACCAGAACATTCTTATCAAGCATCAATTCCTACACCTTTCAAAAGAAGGGGAACTGGGGCCGGACACCTGGGCCGATATGTTTTCCTTCCTTTTTTTCCGCATACCACGTCGGCCGATTTTTTCTGCATTTGTTCAAAGGAAGAGCTCGGAACCGCCCGAGGTCAGATTCTGGTGGAGTGGGCCATGGCCTTCGAGAGCCCCGAGGCGCGCCAGGAGTTCTTGCTGGCGAAGCCCCAGGAGACTGCCAGAGGGACCGGGGGGCAGGAGGGGAGGGGGCATGCTTCTCAGCTCTTCCTCAAATCCGAGCTCCATTTCCCTTCAGAGCTAGGAAAAATTGAGGGAGTTTGGGAAAGCACTGAATGGTGTTCTTGGTGTTTTTCTTTCTGGCTCCAGGGAAATCCCAGCCCAAGCTCAAGAATCCCTCAATTTTCTTCGTTTCGTTTTTTGACCTAGAGTGGCGATCGCTTCACTGGAGCGCATTAGTCAGTTGATCAACTCTTGATTTTGGAAATCTAGTGGCCACTGAACCAATGTCCCCCCACTACCTGCACCTTCAAAAACAGGGGGAGTCTTTTTGGGGGAATCTGCTGCAACCTGATAGAAATGTGGCTTCGGATCCAAACAACCCTTTCCCTATGAAGATACAGGTAGAACACATTGCGCTTGAAGGGCTGACAGGACGCATCCTCACAGACGATTCGCGGAGCAACACACTTTCGATGTTTGATGTTGGACCCTCAATGGTTGGTGGACACCATTTTCTCTTGACAAGTCGGGACATGGTGGGCGCAGGGGAAGGCGGAAAGGGCTCAATGTCTGTGAACCCCCTAAACCCCCCATCTTTTCCTTGACACCCCCGTCCTCCCCGTCCTCACCGCGCCGCGATTCGCTCGCGGTGAGTCAATCCGCGGTGGAAAGTGAGGACTACGTGGCCCACATTCTGGGCCACGAAGGGCCCAACTCCATCCAGAGCTTGCTGAAGGGCAAGGGCTGGGTGAAGGGCCCCATGGATTTGGAGTTCGTCGGTGTTTCTTTCTGTTCCCCACAAAGAAGAGGGGGTTCCAAGGGCTTGGTTCGGGTTTTTGTTCCTCCCCCTGGGAAAAGGAGGGGGGTCTCATCTCCATTTTACCCGTGTGGTGGCTTCGAACATCATCTTTTGGGCGCCAACTCGAAGATATCCTACATACTGCCTGACATTGCCACACAAATCGCGGCTCAACACCTTCATCGTGAATTTTGTTTGATGAGGTGCTCATTGGTTGGAAGTCTAGTTGGAAGCCTTGCTGCGGGCTTTTCAATCCAGAATGGCTTGGAACTCACCCAAAGCAAACACAGTGCAAAGGCCCAGGAGGAGCGTCAAAAAACGACCCATGGACCCCCTTCAAATTGGCGGAGTTTATGTTGCTTCCCTTTCAAGCCGGCCGCCTAAATTCGGCACACATCCACAAAGCCAACCACATGGCAATTTAGAAGCTGACGTTGTTTGCTACTTGCAATACTTACTGTTTTGGAGCTTAGGGAGCAGAGTCATGGCCTTACCAAGGCCTCCCCTGGTGCTGAACCACCAGATTGGAACGTGTTCCAGGATCAACCACCCAACGAGACAACACATTGTTGTGCTTCTGCACGATTCATATCTCACCGAATGGGGAAAAAAGGTCCCTGTGCGATTCTTGTAATCCAGTTTGGTGAATTCTAGTGTCATTATTGTCTTGGCTGGAACAATAATCTAAGAACTCAGGTTATCAAACCTAACTTTCAGTGAACCTGGATCTTTTGGTGAACCAACCTCTCTGTGTCCTCCCAACAGACAACCTTGGAATCAAGCCGCACAGGTTACGTGGCCTTCTCCCCTAAGGCACCACCGCGGGGCTGTCCTTCGACCAGGACGACTTTGTGATTTTCCGAGTCAGCTTCGATGTCTCGGAGGAGTCTGGGATGGGCTCGAGGGTCGGGAAATCTGGGGTCCAAACGGATTTTTGTATGTTGAGTAGCCGTGTCACGGCTTGTCTCCCCACTTGTCCCCCCACGATTTCCCCACTTGCCTCCGCACTTGTCTTGCCACTTGCCTCCCCACCTGCCTCCCCCTGCTTGGTGACTCAGACCTTATCACGGCTTGTCTCCCCACTTGTCTCGCTACAACCCACTTGCCTGGCTGCTTGTATCTGCTTGTGCTTGCTGCGGCTTGTTTCCCCGCTTGCCTCCCCAATCGTCAGGAGGGCCTGAAGCAGAAGGACGCCATCTTTGGCGCGGTCTTCAGCGTCGTGCGACGAATGCAAGATCGGGGCCTGGATGCCGTGCCTGAGTACACGTTTCAGGCGGGCTAGCGGCTAGCGAAAGAGCAAGCCTTTTTCGTGCTGGCGAGTCGTTTCAGTTGTCTTCCTTGTGTTTGTTCCTTTTTTCTGGTGTTTGTGTTTTTTTCTCGTTTTGCTTGTGGTTGTTCTTCGTCGGTTACCTTGTGTATTTGGAACCGGTTGGGCGCTGCTAAAGTATAGCGGAGACCCCGCCAATTTGGGTCTTCTGGCACGAATTGCCACCAGTCTGTTCGACCTTAGCCGCCTCTCAAGACCTTGTGTAAATTTATGGGTATGGGTCAAAATTAAAAGCCATCAGGGGACCGCAGGTTTTAGTCCATGTTTCCATTTACCGAGCGGGCAGCCCATTTTAGGTACCGATTTTTGACCCACACCATGGCTTTTCCATTGAAAACGGTGATCGACCGGCCCGGGATTCGATTCGAGGGACGGGACCCGTGGGGAGGAGTGCCAGAGTCTGGCGCAGCTGCGCTGGCGCTTCGCGGAGAAGCGAGCGTCACAGGCGCTGTGCCTGGACTCGGTGGACCTCATGCAGGCGCCTGGAAGGGTGGGGTCTTCGGCTTGGGCGTTTTTTTTTTGCCCACCTGGGTGTGTGTGTCTCAAAAAGAAATGGGCTTGTCGTTTTCAAAGGCGCCCTTGTTAGGTTGAAATGAAGATCAGAACGGAAGCCGCGGTAAAATAGGGCTTCCCTATTTTGATACATACCCACAATATGGGGAGCATTTGGGGTGCTTCAGGTGATTTCGGGTCTCCCTTGAAAGCAGACCGAAACGGGAATCCTTCCCCTCCAAGCCGTGAATGGATTAGATGCTACGGTTCTGCCCTTTTTGGAATTATTTGACAGGGAAACCAAAAGGAATCCAACCATTTTAGGGGACCAATTCCTATTTTGAGAAACACCCAAATGGACCGCTGGGACAGTAAGATGGAACATGAAACCAACCATTTCAAGGGGATAGTACTCTCCGGGCAGCATTGATGCCATGTGTGAAAAGGCTTATTTTTCCGGTGCTCGGTCAAACAAACATCCCACCAGACCTACTAGTAGTGTGCTCATACAGGCTTCCCCCACCTAGCGGGAACGACCCCAAAATCGGATGCTTGAGCCAACCAGAAGGGGGATAGAGAGTTTGGGGTTGGCTACCCCTGTTTACGCATTTTAGCCACTACTGTCTAAACAAGCTCCTTCTGGTTTCCCTTTGAGACTCCTGGGCCAGCTCTGAGAACTGAGCGTGTCAGGATGGGCTACCGCCCTCGACCTACCTGAGCAACCGCTTCCTGCTTTTCGACCCTCCCAAGGAGCCGGCCGGCCCGAGGTGTCCATGGGGGCGTAGTTCGTAACCTCCAGGGGATGCTTGATTCCCCGGATTACCTAGCTAGAAGCACTGGGCTTGGTTGATGATCACCCCCTCATCCTTGCTGGCAACAGAGGACCTGTTAAGATGCACTAGCCCCAAACCATGCCCCCCTTCATGGGATATACAACCACTCTATAGCCACAATGCAAAGGGTATTTGGGGGTAGTGGTTTGGGGGTAGTGGAAGCCATCTTAGATGAAACACCCTATTCTAAGAAGGTTCTGAGAACATCTGGGTTGTGGGGGAGGCCTTTCATTTCCCTATGTGTTTGGGTCCCGCAGCAGGAGGGCCCCAGCGGCGGCAGCCTGCCCCGCGCTGTGGCGAAAGTGCTCGAGCAGCTCACCCCTGAGAGGGCGAGGTATCGGGTCTTCGCCAAGGATGCAGCTTGGCGAATCTTTTTTTTTCTCTCTCTCTCTCTCTCTTTTTTACATTTTGTCTTTTTTCTCTCTTTTTGTCTCTCTCTCTCTCTCTCTCCTTGTTTCTTTGTTTCTGTTCCCTTGTTTTCAGACATTCCCACATGAATGACTGACAATACCGCAAGACACCGATAGGGGACCAAAACAACCCGATCCCGCCAATCTGCAAGAAACAATAGATCCATTGTTTCCATGCTTCTACACTGTTCTGTCTTCCAAGGGGAAGACAGCAAGCAGCAAACAGTTGTTCAATCAGTCCGGGTAAACATGGCAGCTGTTCCAACTCCGGGAGTTTCCCGGTTTCAAATACACCAGACATATCCAGTTGGAGAGCAGCTGGATACAACGCGTTGCGACGATCCAGCGTAGCCAAGCTGAGACCTTGTGAATGATCTCCATGTTGGCTGCACATTTCATGGTTCAAAGGGGAACCAACAGAATAACCTCACGTTCTGGGGGCCCGCCCACATATCCCAAAAATGTGCTTGTCAGCAGCCATGCTGCAAGACAATTTTGCCCACAGCGGGCGGTACTTGAATGTGTTCCATCCTTAGTGACCTCTGTCATGTCGTTTTGCACGCTTGTGTTGGCATTCGTACATAGCTGTACTATCAGAAACAAGAGACAAAGACAAAGGGCGCTGCTCGAACGGTGGGTGTTCAATCGCCTTTGGCGCCGGTCACAAAAGGGACACGCAGTTTTGCGACAACCCCCCCCCCCCGGGTGAATAAGTTACCCTTCCACCAACTAACATGGAACACACTTGAGGAACATTGTCTGTTGGTGTGCTTACACCCACTGTGGCCATCACATATGGCTTCTTCTTTTTTTGAAGAAACACGACCACCTTTGGATTAAACCCTCAAGCCTTTCACCGTTTAGCCGCTCATTTGACCCAGCCAAAAGGCGTTCCCTTTCGCCGGCCACCTCCGAGGTTAATGGGCGCGCCGACCGCACGGAGGAGTGGTACGGCGCCGCTGGGTTCAAGGGACACGGAGGAAACGAGCCTCGCTGGGCCATGGTGCATGTTCTGACTACATGTCAATGGCATGTGTCTAAATGGGGACTGCGGGGGCCCTGCAGATGGTAGTTTGCCTTTCGGTTTCTTTTGAAACCAACCTGAAACAAGCAAACCGGCATGAGGTTCAGTCGTTCAGTCAACATTTCTTCCGGTACAATCCAAGCATTTTGAGAGTTCGTTCATTTGGAGACGTATGACACCCTAGTGTATGGGGTGATCAACCACATCACCAAGCGACCAAGTATGGATTCATACACTCAGGTTTTGAAAATGCACCCCATGCTGCAGACAGAACACCCGGGGCTCGACAGGGTTGTGTCGTTGGAGGAATGGGTCACAAGGGGTTTTTCTTCCGGGATGAATTCAATTAATTCAAGAGGAAACTAGCGGGTAAACCGCAAAAGCAGGAGTCAGGTTTTCAAATCTTGACATGTGCGCACACTCCCAGATGAGCAAGATTTTGCTCGAGCTTTTGAACAAAGAAATTCGAGAGCGCTCCCCTGGCGCTTCATCTGTTTGCTTCAGCGTGACGCAGCAAGCTGATACGGGTGTGGGTCAAAATTAAGCCACCAGGGGACCGCAGGTTGTAGTCCAAGTTTCCATTTACCAGGGTTCCATTTTGGGTACGTATTTGTGACCCACAGCCATACTTTTTTCCAAACGCCTTGCCTGCGTAAGGTGAAGTATGCCGAGACGGAGATTCCGGCGGCCGACTATCGAGGCTGTGTCGTCTTGATTTGGTGTGCGAAACAGTGAAGCGGCAGCCACATCCATATGTTGCTCGCATTTTTGGGAGAGGGCTCCGAATCCAGGACTGGACAAGATCGGGGCATCAATGTGTAGTTATTTACACCGCAATGGGTAGTGCATGTTTGCGAAAAACGATCATTGGAGGCACGCCCCGTACATGTCTTTCCAACAGAAAAGCCACCCAGCAAAACGGCGACAAGACAGCAGCACTCGCGCTCCTTTCAAGAGTCGGTGAGTGTGTACTAACCAGCACCCTGTACAGGGGGAAAGCAACCAGTCTAGGGCGAAGCTCCAGGCTGCCTTAAAGTCACCCATCCCCTGATGCCCCGTTGCATACTCTATGTCTATGTAGTTAGCAAAACCGGCTGGCTCCATACCCTTCGTTACATACGTTCGTTACATACCTCACATTAGCAAATGCCACCTAGCTGGTTGCATGCCCCTCGTTATGCGATTCATTTCCCATGAGCGCCTGCAGAGCTGTTTTCCCCTGACACGCCTACATAACAAGGACCCCCCCTATATACATACCGCAACAAGATGCGAGGCGCGTCGCGCGTTACATCCTTCAGTATCCTTCAGTAGAATTCTAGAAATCATTTCCATTGACATAGCTCAAAAGCACTGCGCACCAGTCTGGGGTCTCCAGTACTGGTATTATAAAGATTAAATAAAGCTAGATTTCTGGGCAGACTCTTGCCGACAGCCGAGCAAGTTAGGTTTTCGGGCCAAAACAATACCCCCAAAAGCCCACATTTTGTGCTCCATGGGGACCCTTCAAACTGCTTGATGTTTGCAATTATTTGCCTGCAGCTGCGTGGCCCCTAGAATGGTGAGTCCTGCCAGCACAGTTCTTCAGAAAGGCTTAGCCCGGTGCCCGACTACCTCGTGGCTAAAAGTGGTGTCAATTGTCTGGTATTTAAAAAACAACTTTGGGGCTGTTGCCACCCACACCGACTCCGCACACTATCCGCACGCTACCGCCCCCAACTACCCCCAAGCTGGGGGTAGTGGTATGATTCAGCTTTTTCACGAGCATACCAGGTGATGTGTGACTACCCCCAAATCTCCCAGTCAAATCCACTACCCCCAAACTGCACGTTTTGGGATCATGACCCCCAAAACGGGGGATGTGGCGGTCCCTCCAACGCGACATGATCAAAGCAGCAAACCAAACTGCTGCCAAGAAAGCAAAGCTTTGATGTTCACCTTAAGCAAAGATACCGGCGCAAACCAAGCGTTGATGTTAAACACATGCCGCAGCTCCAGAATTACCTGGTTTCTGCAGCAGCCAAATATGCACAAATTGAGGCGCCCTCGTATAACCCTTATATAACCCTTTCCTAACCCTTCTATAACCTGTATATATCCATTGGCTTCTGGGGGTAGTGGTTTAATGGTAGTCAATGTTGTCTTAGACAGCCTGCGCGTAGACGCGCAGACACACACAGAAGCGAAGACGCGCAGATTCACAGACGCGCAGACACACAGACACACAGACACACAGACATAAAGATGCACAGACGCACAGACGCTCAGACTGGCAGATTCACAGACTCCACAGACACACACAAATATAGACACACAGACTCACAGACACACAGACACACAGACACACCAACCTGAGCAAACCAGACATCACTTCAAACAGAAAGACAACGCAGCAAAACGACAAAAGGACAAAACAAATCTCTCTTTGTCTCTCTCTCTCTCTCTCTCTCCATTTTTCCATCTCTCTCCCTCACACACACCCAACACCCCCGGCAAACGGTACATCCAGCAACCACAGATTTCCCTTCTCCCAAAAAAAGCACTAAGGGGTTCCCGCCCTCCGAAACCGTCATCCGCAGGCTGGTCCGTGAAGGATCCAGAGGTGCTGCTCCCGGAGTGGCGGTACCCGGGGCCCAACAAGTTCATTCCCCAGGCCCGCCTTCAGGTTTTGCCGCGCCCAGCTTCGTTGCAAGTTGGTTTTCCCAGTTGGTTCAATTGTCCAGGTCTTTCTTTGTTGCTTTCCGTTTGTTCAGCTTGTTTCGGCGTGGTTTGCTCATGCTTTTGGTTGTTTTAGTGTTTCTCAGTTTTGTCTTTTCCATGTGTTCCTGTCTTTTTCAGCTTGTTCCAATGTTCATTGTTTCAGTCTGTTGTTGTTCTTGTGTCCGGTTTTTCGGCTTTTGTTGTTTGTGTTGCAGTTTGTCTTGCAGTTTGTTTTCAGCTTGTCCAGTGTTGTTTTCTGTTTCAGTTTTTGGTTCATTTTGTTGTTCATTGTCTTTTTCTCCATTTGTTTGATGGCTTTTCAGCTGTTTCAAGTTCCCATGTCAAGCCAAACCAAAAAACAAAAACGGCCAAAGGGTTTTTCCTTTGGCCCAAGCACTCATCGACCCTGGTCAGGTTCCGACCGCTCAAGGAACCCCCATCCTCAGGCCCGAGCCTTGGGTGTCCAACCCTGGGTGACTTTCTTGGGTTTCCTCTTAGGAAAAGTGCTATTACTCTCACAGCACTGACAAATGGAAACCAAGAGGAACTTCAAAAGCAAACAGTTTGGACGAGACGTTTGGATCATTGGATCCGATGGGCCCAACTCCAGGACTTCTCCTTGGCCTGGCCGCAGATTGGGAAGACTGGGGCCTCGGAGCCCCCGGAGATGGTGCGGGACGATGCCCCACGGCGCAAGCGAATTCGAAGGCTCAGACCGGGCAGATGTTTTAGTGGGCTTTGAAGCCCCAATTTTTACCGTCCCTCAGTTTGGTGTGTCTTTTTTGGAGAGGACAACCTTGGGGTTTGTCTAAAAGGAACGCACCCATTTGGAGACAAACCGATTTGGCTGTGGGTCAAAGCCCTGTACCCCCAGTGAACATCCCAATCCCCACCAAAACAGACAAAAATGGGTGGTGCACCTACCCCAAAATGGTACCATAGGTTGTGACCCACAGCCATTCGTCTGTTTTCCCAAACTGGTCGTTTGTGCCGGTCCGAGCGAGGACCGGTGGCGGGTCTTCTTCAAGGCCGACCGCACCTTCGAAGTGCCCAAAGCCAGCGTCATCCTGCAGCCCGGATTTTCCGAGAGCGCCCGGAAGCCGAGCCATTTCCCGAAATCGGCATCTCAGCCGGGTTTCCTGGGAGCCATGGGAAGTTCATCACTTGATGGTCCTTGGCCTCCAAAGTCACTCGGGATTAGAGTAAGGCCTATACAATCCGTATCCATCTTGGTAGAACCCAGAGTCAGCTCGGGTTTAGGGCCTGGCTCAGATGGCTATGCATGTTGAATGGCCCAGACCCTGCATATATTATATTTTATATTGAAATAGGGGACCCAACAAAGGTGGTGTCCCTTTTGAGTTCCATTCAAACCAAACTGAAAAGGTTGCCCCCCAACAAATACACCCACATGACTCTTTGACATGTGTTTGCTTTTTTTTTTGCCTGATGACTTTTTGCCAGATCTTAGCCCTAGACCTCCAGTTGCCCGTTTCAACTTTCTTAGGTTGCCGTCCTTTTAAGACGACAGAACATGGGACACCTGTATGCGAAAAACCCTCTTACGGGTTTCGGACTCTAGGCAGAAAGCCCAAAGAGTGCCTTGGACCAGAATCTGAACAGAAATGGCTCCTGGAGCACCTCAGATTTGCCCACTTTAGTACCGTCCCTAACCTCCACAACCACCACTCCAAACCACCCATCAGAGGGAAGCTGACGTTAGTACCGTTCCCAGTGCTTCCAGTTACCATGATGGCAAGTAGCCAGAGGAAGCCATCATGTAAAAGCTACAGGTAAGGGACCCCAAGGGTTTCCCACTTTGGTAGCCATTGGAAGCACTGTGATTGAGAGAACGTCAGGGATCCTTCTTTGCAAAACATGTGACAACCCCCCAAGATGGGCTTCCAAAGATACTCATGGTTTCCAAAGACCATTTCATTAGCTCCAGGTTTTACTGATTGCTTTTCCAAATAGGCGACCATGGACCCACGGGGCATCAGAAACCCCAAGAACTAGGTATGGTTTGAACCCATGGACCTCTTTGAAACCGAAAGGGCAACCATTTGAGGGAACAACAAACCTTGAGAATTCTGAACGGTTGCGGAAGCTGACTTCAGTCGTGCGAAAAATCACTTAAACGGAAATCTCTCGGGTGGGCTAGGCAGTGCTGGTTCCCCGACCCTGCGCTGGAGACGTCCCAAAAGCGCATCGACACCGCGGAAGGCCGCATGCTCGTGCCGTGGACTGGAGTGGACAGGAGCCCCAAGCGAAAAACACAACCTGGGGATCCCAGATAATCCCAGGCTAGTGGGTAGTCAGCCTTTATCTTTGTCTTTTCCTTTTTTTTAAACCAGGGATCCCCTGGTCACCTCCAATACAGGGAGTGCAAGACTATTTTGAGGACGTTGGTTCCCCTTTAAACCAACCTGAGGCCCGGCCGGGCACCGGGCCTCAGCCAAAAAACTCATCGGCCCTTCGGCTCATCGGCCCCCTCCTTTGAAGCTACTTTGGATGGACGAAATCCAATTCGCACCACTTTAATTGAAACCATGGGAAACGATATTTATTTAGTGGAATCATCATCCCAAGGTGGTGCAGGAAATTTCGTCCATCCGCAGTATCCACGCCCTTGGGAGCCGCAAACGCGGACTCGGTCGCTGAGGCCCGGATCTGGCAGCTCTGTTTGGCGGACCGCCTGTCCGAGGAGTACTACGACGCGCGGCTGGCAGGGCTCAATGCCAACTGCGCCGCCACGGTCGCAGGCGCCAGAGCTCAAAACTGACTCCAACTTGTTGGGCTTCAAACCACCATTGTTCTAATGGGGGGTTAATGGAATCACCATTGCTTACCCTTCAGGAGACTCATCTTGGGGCAGCCATTCTGTCAATTGTGGTTGAACCCTGGGGTACTGGCCATTTTAGTAAGTGGTTGTACACCTGGCTTAATTTCCAACTTGAGACACTCCGCCTTGCCCATGGCAAACCCGCGGAAACCGCCGAGCTGCCAGGCATCTCCATCTCCTTCGGCGGATACAGCGACAAGCTGCTGCTCTTCATGCAGGCATTTGGTCCACCAGGTCGCACCTTTTTTGGACGAGAGGTGGCCATGGTTGCCATAGGTGTCCTTTTTTAAGTTTGGTTAGAAATAGGGAGGGTGACCGGGTCACAAGTCCGGTGTCCTATTTTCCAGAAATAGATCACCAAACTGGTCACCAAGTGATCACCTGTGGTTGTAACGCAACTAATCAAAGGGCACCAAACGCTTTTCAGGTCTCAAAGGGCGCCACAAACTCCCGAGCTGCAAACCATGGAAGATCCCCCGCCGCAAAACCGAGGATGGTGTTCCAGTTGAGGCCCATCATGTTCGTTTGTGACGGCCCAGAGACTTTCCAGAAGGTAACTTACTTTCAGAAGAGTAGTGCGAATCCCAGTGCAGCACCCCTTGGTTTCCTTGTGGGCATGTGTCAAAATAGGGGCCCCCTAAAAATGCATGTTTTCCTTTTGGGCTCCTTGAAACCAACCTGAAAAGGGAATTGACTTGTGGCAATCTGCCCAGATGAAAGTCACACGAAGAGCGCCCAAAGCCGATTCCCCAGAAGGGCCACTTGAGCAGCTGGTTCTGGTTTCGTTTCATGAGTCCATGAGGCTTATAGCAAGGCCTATATTTACACCTTGATGACTCATCATTTTGGTAGACCCAAGAGTCAGCTCTTAGGCGCATGTGGGCGCTGCTCAATTGCCACTTTTTTTTTGTCCCCGATGTCTACCCGATTTCTGCTTGGGTGGTTTGGGGTGGTTTGCGGTGGCTTGAGGGCAGACTCTCTAGATCTTTGGACGTCTGGAAGCTCTGAAGGAGGGCCTCAAGAAGGTGAGGGATTTCGATGGGCCCACGGAGAGCGAGTTCGCGCGAGCGATGGACACGCTGCAGCGCGAGCAGGACGAGAGAGAGAGAGGGAGTCGAGTCTTGGAGACCCCATCGTTTGTCGAAAGTTACCGTCACTAATTCCCAGCCTTTGCACTTGGCTTGGTGTGACCCCCCTATTCAAGGCCGTGCATAAGCATTGCATGGATGTGCAGTCATCATGAGAGATTGCATGACCATGGCTCAAGGAAACAAGTGCCCCAGTGCTCCCGGTCATTGTGCAACCGTTTCATGGTAGCGGAGCGATCCTGAATACGACCAGGGATCGCTATTTGCACTTTGGGTATTACTCACTCAGCGGGTAGCCCCGCAGAGACTCACTCAGGGGGAAGTCCCGCAGAGAGAGGTGTCAAAATACCTCCCAAGAAGCACAAGGTGCCAAACAAGAAGGAGAAGAAGCACAACGACAAGAGGGGACCACGGTCAAAGGAGGCACAAGAGTGCTGAATAGAAACGGGACTTCGGAGAAGGCAGATTGCAACTGAGGCCTAAAGCCTACGCCAAGTCAAAGCCATCCTTGGTCACCAAGGCATTCTACGGACCTCATGAACCTGATCATCGAAGTAGAAGAGCAGCTTGTACTGCAGCAACAGAGCCCAATCCCAAAGCTAAAGCAAAGACTAAGCTTATACGGCTTACAGCAGAGCGGCTTGCAAGGTTGCAGAAGTGGAAGGATACCGAGGTGATCTTTGACAGCAGCCAACAGATTCGCTTTAGAGAGAGGGTGGAGATCAAAGGAGGAATCAGGAGGATTTGGAAAGTTCAGCAGGTTCTTCGCAAATTGGGACCTGCATGCTCTTCGTGTGCAAGTAGGCAAAAGGTAGAACCCGGACAGCCCTTGCATTCATTGACAAGAGAAGAAAGGAAGGAAGACTAAAACTGCCAACCAGCAGGAGGAAGAAGAGGAAGAATCAGAGTCCTTGCCTTTCGGCGCGATGGCGGGCCAGATGATCCAGGACTTGCAACAGCAGTTGCAGCAAGCTAGAGATGTGATAGCAACGCTGCAGGGGCAGATGGTGCAACAAGCAACTGGCATGCGGGCACAAATTGCCCAGCAGTCCAATGATATCACAACCTTGCAGCAGCAGCTTAGTCAGGTCCGACCAGAGCACTGGCAGGTGCACTGCTCAGGAATGTAGTAGAATCGCGCGTTCTTGGGAAGAAATCCTCAAAGCAGATGCAACGCAGTTCAATGACTGGCTTTTCATCTTCAAGTCCTATCCTGGAGCCTTGGATGCAGGATATCCTAGGGTCCTGGAGAAAGCTGAGGCTTCAAACGTGCGGTGAACCTCAACTTGTCAACTGAGGAGCAGCCGCTGTCAACCCAGCTGTACTATATCTTTTTTATGCTGGTGAGGGAGAGGCCTTTAGACCGTCCAGATGAGCGGCTGATAAGAAAGCCGCGGAAGCCCCGCAGCCCATGGGCACAGGGCAGCAGCAGAGGCCAGCCGAGCTGATACTGGCACAAGATGCACATGCAAGTGGATCAAGCAATCTATGATGGCATCGTAGACGAGAAGACAGGCAAGCCCTGGACGCAGAAGTATGCCCAGGAGAACACTTGCAAGATTGTCAAGTCGTGTTGGGTTCACAGAGAGAAGCCTTTGGCAGATGATCCTGACAATGTCAGATCAAGGCTTGTGGCTCAGGAGCTGAACATTCAGAAGAGAGAGGATGTGAGCCAAGGCACACCCATGAAACCAGCGCCGCAAACATGCCAGCTGTACCTCCACCAGATCTGCGAAACAGTCCTGACAGATTGTGGCTTTTGCTCATATAACGACCAGGTCCAAGGTTGAACCCACCAGTGAGTTGATCAAGGTTCTCAACTGGCTCACTGTGGAAAAGCTCAAGAAAGGTCTGAAAGACCACGGGCTTATGCCCACTGGGAAGAAAGATGTTCTCGGTGCTAGGCGCCGTAATGCGCAAGCTGAGTAGGACACGCGTGTTTGAATTGTATGCGCTGATAAGTAGACCGGACTCGTCAAAGAGGTCTGCTTTGGAAAGGTTCGCTGGTGTGACAAATCCAGCAAGGACAGAATTCAGGATTGGCTCACTTTGAGACGAAGGCATTTGGAGTGGTCTGACGTGTAGCTTTGCAGTAAGACTGCTACAGCCATGGAGGGGTGACACAGATCACGCCCTATTCAAGGCGGCACATAAGATTGCATGGATGCGCAGTCATCATGAAATATTGCATGGCCAACAAGTGCCTCAAGAGTGCTCCTAGTCTTTGTGCTACCGTGGAACTAGTTTTATTACATTTGTAGAAGGTGATCGACCTTTTACTCAGGGGAGGGCAAGGGCAACCCAGTCTAAATGGTGGTCTCAGAAGGGGTCCCCATCCCCGACAGTTCCTTTTTCAGAAGACTGCAGCCGCTGCAAAAAAAGGGTAATCTAGTTTCTCAACTGGGTTGAAAAGGGCTCAGGGACCCATTTTTTGCCACCCTAAGCCTGTATTTCGACCTCCATTTTTACCTTTTGGTTGATTGGGAACCGCGGGGTCGAACACGCAGGGTCCTCCTCTTTGTAGCATTGGCATTTTCAGGGTTTCTCAAAAAATTACTTTGCGGGGTTCCTTAAGCCACTTTGAGGATGTGACTTTTATGGACTGAAGTATGGGGTTTTGGCGGGCTTCCCGAGGAATCAGCTGTCAGCATTTGTATTTCGATTTCTTTTCCGTTTTTCTTCGGGTCCTTTTGAGACAACCTGACACGGGGAACATAGATGGATCCCCCCAAAAACGCTCATGCATTCCTTTGTGAGGTATGCTGATCACGCCAGACCTTTGACAACTGCATGTCGAATTCGAGTTCCAGGGCATGTCAAAACAAGATCGGGGCTCACGACGGAGCTACTTGGGGATCCCATGTTTTTGGCCTGTCTTGGCCCCGCTTGTCCCATCATGTTCTTTGTTGAGAATGTTGGAGGGGCACGCTGGCGGAAAAGACTTGTCTCCTCAGAGTAAAGTAGGCGTGGCAAGAGTCCATCGCCCTCGCTCCAAGGGGAGCTGACAGGGAAAGCTGGGCAGAACTAAGAAATGATCTCTAGTACTTGTAGGGAGCATTTGTTTTGTGGAATCTGTGCAAATTGCCCTAATTCTGTCCTTGATAGTCTTAAAATGCCAACACTGCACGAGTAGCGGCATTGATTTGGGGCAGTCCCTTATAGCTTCTGTAGATGCATTGGCGTCGGTTTGGGCAGGCCCGGCTCGGTTTGTCGTACTAGGGCTGCGCGTGATTGATTTGGTTGCGGCTCCTAGACATGGGACCCAGGTTTGCCCTTACCCACTGTAGCAGGCAATCAGGGGAAATAATACCTAGTGGCGAAACGACTGAAAGCCTGGGGTTAAAGGAATCGAGTCTTTTGGCCGCTCCTCTCGTATGATTTCGGCGAAGGAGCGAGCTCCATTCAAAAACCCCTGCACACCTATCTCTAAAACATCCCCAGCAAAGTTGGAACCAAACCGTGCAGGCCTCCTTCAGCGTGCAGCAGCCCTTCGCCATCGCGGCCTACTACTCGCGCCTGGCCACATTCTTGCCAGAGACCCCCATCGAGGAGAAACTGATGTGACTGGTTGGTGTCATTTTGGGTTACGCCTTACAAGCATGGCCCAGTGCACCGACCACCTCTCTTCCCAAAAGGAGACTAGCTTTCCGAAGACTTGTGCAACTGCAACTTTTATGTTTGTTATCTGGCAGGTAGTTTGGTTGAACATGGATGGCACTAATGAGTTTTGTTGTTTTTCAGTTCGATGAAATACGGATTTAGCATGGTCAGTGTTGGTTTAACCGGTTTTTGGTTTGGCTCCAATCCTGCGTGATTGATTTTCCCAGAAGGATATTGAGGGAACGGGACCACCTAGTTTGGCACAAGCAAACGAGAGCCAGCGGCTTTCAGCCCTCCCCCATGCAGTAGGAGTTGGGCCCTTCCAAATGGGGAATCCACATGTACATGGTGTCAACCAAATGGTCCCCAACTAAATCATACCTAGCAACGCAGTAGGTTTAGGTTTCCGCACTCAAGACCTAGGGTTCTGGTTGGGGTACTTGGGAGCCCTTTTGGTTTATCTCAAGTTATGTACCTTCAAAGCGAGTGACTTCTTTTTGGCCTCCCTTCAACGCAATCCCAACAACAACAAGGGTACCGACTCGACGATGCATTTCGGCCCCCACTCAAGGAAGTGCTTCAGGTTGTGTTGTTCCCTTTCAACCAACCCAAAAAGGTTCCTTGAAAAGTTGAATTCCTTTTGCGGAGGGTAGGAAACCACATTATAGCATCCAAACCACCAATCCTTTCTCCCTTGCAGATTTGCATGGAACCCAAGAACCAGGCTTTGTGGGAGCCCTTTGTTTGGGCCCCTTGTTCCACGATCCTTCCCTTCGTTTGCAGGGGGCTTAGCCCGGGCTTAGCTGCTTAGCGCTCCATTTTGGGCCAGGACCTGCGTGCTGCGTTGGCCAAAGTCACGCGGGAGCAGGTCATCAACTTCTCCAAGGTGCTGAGGGACAAAGACCAGCCCTTCTTCGGGCAGGCGCGTCGTTTGACCAAAATGCCTACTCCAAATACCAACGCTGGTTTTGGTTGGTGTCGTGTCAAGCCTTTTCTACTTTTATTTTTTCTGAAAAGGCCACGGTGTTCAACAAATACCCTAAGAAAAAGAGGGCCCTTGGAGCAGGGGGAGCCAAGGGAATGTTCTAACCCTCAATGGTTTAGTGGGCCCTAACAGTCAATGGTCACTATGCCGCTACTGTGGGTAGTGTCAAAATCTAGGCCGATCGGCACGGGATGCTGGCTTATCCAATTCGCAGGGCTTCCATCCCGGATTTTGTCTAACCGCAGGGCCTTGAGTGCCAAATAGCCCACTTTTGCGCACCTCCCCAAAGGACACCAAAGGGAATGAGAGAAAACAACAAATATGTTCTGTTTTTCCAGACTTATTTCACACCTACGACCCCATCCTGTATTGGGCTTTCCAATGGTAAACTGGACTCTAGCGGCAGCGGCAACCGGGCGCCTTTTTGGGGCCAGGGGTGTCTCAAGCACTAGTGGCACGGGTCGGGTGCAGATTTGGATTTGAAAGAAACTTTTTGCGTTTCCGCACTCTCCCCAACCAAACAATTCCCTGATAGAGGGGACTTCCTCTGGGGTTTTGTAAGAGTATGCATAAGGGTAGCATTGGGGCACGTGGTGGAAACCCCCGGATTCATGTTCCCACATAAATTTGGGACTTTTGCTCCAGGGCCCCAATCAATTACCCAGGGCTTAATCCGACTTTGTTGACTTTGCAGGCGCTGATTCATGGCAATTTGAGCGTGGACACTGCGAAGGGCATGCTCGCAACCTTGGACCTGCTCCCATTCCGAGGCACGCCTGACGCTGCCAAATGACAGCTTTAGAGGCTCGGTTTCCTGGTGAACAACCAGCCCTCGGTCCCCCAAGGAACCAACGGGAGACGGGAGGTTGTTTAAGCAAGGGCCCTTGGTTTGGGTAAAAGGCCCTATGCTTTCGAGAACCTGGACAAATGGACCCGAAAGCGATAGGGGCAGCTTCCCGTGCCAGGGATTCTTTCCAGAAACCACCAGAAGCCCAGAATCAGAGATGGTTTTGGAAACGAACACTTGCCTAACCGAAGGGGCTCAAATTGTGCCATGGTCAACTCTTCCGCGCGGGCTGCCAACGGTTCAAAGGAATTTGCCAAACCTCGGGGCCGGTCGGTGGGCCGGGGGCACAAGGTGAAGAACCACGGACATTCTCCAGGGAAATCGTTGTGTTTGCTGGGTGCTTGGCCACTATTGACATGGTGGTTGCTTTTTTATTGTTTTGTTCTCCCCCCCCCCCCCCCCGATTTCTCCGCCGAACTCCGAATCGCCTCGAATCCATAGGTGTCCTTGGCTAATTTGAAACAGATGTGTTCCACTGGTTTGCATGGGGTTTTATTCCATCCAGCGAACCCCATCGATTTTTCACACGGTCACCTACTGTGGATGGACGAAATCCTGCACCAAATCCTGCGCCACGGTTCAGAAATCTTACGATTATTCCCTTGTAAGAAGAAAAACAAAGCACAACGCAGAGTGGTTTTAACCCCACCTCTGGACCCCCAAACGAGCACAACTTTGTGGCCAAACCTTTCTTTGGAGCTCGTTTGGTGGTTTCAACCATGGTTCCAAAGCGGCGCGACCGGATGTCGCCCTCCGGTTTTGGTCATCGCCTCGGCCGGAGAGGGGCGCTGACGAAGTCCCCGGCCGGGGGCCTGCTGCGCTCGCGCTTCGTGAAGCTGCAGCCGGGCCAGGAGCCCCCATGCCGGGAGCTTTTTGGAGGTCGTGGGGTTTTGCTAGGTGCCCCAGTGCCCTCTTACCGTTTTTTTTTGTTTTTCTTTTTCGGGGCAGGGTTTACTAAGATTAGCTGCAGAAAAAAGGGTATATTCTAAGCTCTCTACTGGAGGACCTAGTTTGGGTGTCCTGTAAAACCCAAACACGTTGGTACCCTGAAAAAAGAGAGACCCCCATGTCTATTGTCATCTACAAACGGTGCTTTCAGGCAAGCCAGGTTACAAGGGCATGCCTGCATGTAAAACCTTGAGGCAAACATACCTGGTTATTTACAATCGTTTCAACAGGAAGCACTGGGTACTATAAGGTGATTTTGGCACTCAATAAACTGCCATTCGGACTCTTTTTTTTTCCGACAGGCCATTAGAAATTGTGGGGGGGGGGGGCACTTGAGCCATCAAAACCCATTCGGGTAGATGAAGGTTAGTGGGGGAGGGTGGCACTAAATCGGTGCGGATATCCGTCTTGGTATTTCCTTACATGGCTTTGGGTAGGCCAGTTCAATACCAGGCTTTGATTGTGACACACGTGCCTCTAGGGAGGGTAATCTTGACCCGGGACTACTTAACCCGACGGGGGGTGGATCCTTCACTTTGGGGGCAAGCCGGAAACCTATCAATCCCCCGGGCTGATTAATCCCGGTCAACATGCTGGTTCTTCCATGTGTACATTGGGAGGTTGTCAACACAGGGGCTCGCTTTGGAAGTCTTGGTGACGTTTCGTGACGCCTTTCGGTCACCATGGTGTCGGCGCTCATGTGTTGCCGCTTAAGACCTAGCACCATCTTTTCCTAGTGCGGGAAGTGGTTCCCACTCCAAGCGGGCTTGTCTCAAAATCTTTTATTTTTTCAAATTGCATTTTGTTGGGGTTGTTTGGAAGAAAGCCCACCCATACTGGGACAAACCCATTCATGGTTGTGGACAGAGGTCTTCGGGGCCACTTTCTGCCACCAAGGTCCATGCAAAAGTGATAAAGTAGCCTTGAGGATGGCCCACTTGGGTATGAAAGGGCCCATTTTTCACGACCACACATTACAGGCCTGCCCCGTTCCGAAGTGCGGGGTGCAAATTGCAAGGACCTTCTGCAAGTGAAGCCCGACTTGAACGGTGAGGAGACCAACCACGCGCCGCTTGAATGCGTGCAGTGAGACCCAGACCTCCACGGCCCCTTTTTCCGTTTCTTTGGACGGTTCCTCCTGTTTGATCCGAACGTGGGTTCATGTTCACCAAGGTGCACTCCGGAAGTACGAGTTTGACGAGATGTCTTGTTTCTAGTTGTCGATATGTCGGGTCGGGCCGAGGCTCGTCTCTGTTTTCTGGACTGGAGATGAAGTCATGGATGCCTTGCACGGCCAGCTGCTGGAGAGAGTCCTGAAGGCCGCGTGAGTTTTAGTGCACCGGCCTCGACCGTTTTTTCAGCGGAAGCCATGAGTTTTGAGTTTTGAAACGCTGCCACTCTGAACTGGTGGACCACTCTCCCCAAAGCTCCACCCAGTCGGCAAAACATGTCGCGCGAGGCTCCCTTCTACACGAGCCTCCGTACAAGGCAACAGCTGGGCCCGGGAGCTCGGAGCCGGTTTCCGATGCGGGGTTCTTCCGGTCCGCGTGAAAAAGACGACTGGAACTGAGCCTAGACCTCTTGAAACGGTCCAGGTCAATTTGCGGGAGACGGTCGGTTTCCGGGAGACTTCCCTGCGTCTTCTGCCCGTTTGTTGAAAAGCTAGCTTTTCTTTGTGGCCATCACCTAATCCAGGCAGGTGCTTAGCCTCGCTGATCGAGGCTATATCGTGCAGTCGCAGTGTGACCGCATCGGCAACAACTCCCGGGTGCTTCTGGTTGTTCAGAGACCTGGCTCAGGTTGGGTCTTTGCAGACGCGTAGCACGCCACAACACGCCCTGCTTGCTTGGAGTGAACATGTGTTTTGTTTGTTGACATCCCTTCTTCATCATACGATTCAGGACAACACTCTCATGCCACAAGCATTTGTAGCTGTAAGCTTTGCAGAAGTCATTCGCATCACAGAGTTAGGTGCAGCCACCCTTTTAAGGTTCAAAAGTCTCACCACCAGATTCCTGGACCATACCCCTGAAGCTCCAAAAGGTGTAAATCAGGAGTGAGTTGTATTTCTGCTTTGGGGTTTGACCAGATCCGTTTTTGGGAAATATTTAAAAGGTCCCTGTCTCACGAGTGATCGGTCGCTTAGGAGCAGCGTTCGCGATCCGAACGGGCTGCTTGATGCTGTCAACGACTTCCTGGTGGAATTCCGAGCATCGTTTCTTGGCCAGGCATGACACTCCCTGGAAAACCAACAGGGAAGCTTGAAAAGGGGTCCTTGCCACAAAGCAAGCGCGTCTCCAAGACTTTTTCCCCAACAGCTGAAAGCTTTGGGCTCAGCCCAGATGGGCTCCGGGGTGGTCTGGGGCGGCCCTGAGGTAAGGCTCCACGAGGGTTCCACCAGGGTTCCACGAGGTTCTGCGAGGGCTGCGGGGTGGTGCGAGCACTAAAAAGAGCACGGCATGCTGTGGGGATATCACCAGAGCTTATTTTCCAAATGGTTGTTTCGCGGCTTACATGTGGACCTGGAGGGCTGCTACTGTTGAACATGAGACATTGATTGTCTCATTGACTGTGATAGCAAGGGAACCCCCTTTCAACTGGCAAGGTGTTTACAGGGATGTGAGTCCCAGGCCCACTTTCGGTACCGGGACAGCTCTCCACAATCCTGTCTACCCCTATGTTTGGAGGACTCTCCTGCAAGGGGGTTGCCCTTGTTGCCACAAAGGACAACAGGGGCCCTAACGGAAGCGAAAACAAAGGTGTAGATGGTCTTCTTGGGGACTTGACATGCGCCTTTCGCAGCTATTGAGGCTGGCATCGCTGGCAGATAGCAGCTCGGCATAGCATCTCTCTCTCTCTCTCTCTCTTTGCGATGCAGAGCGACTCCACGCGACGCCCAAAGGCATGCAAATCGAAACCAAAAGAATAGCATCTAACTAATTCTCCGCGACCCTTTTTCTTCTGTTAGGGTAAGTTTCCCCTCAGAATCAACCACATTGTTTACCTCTGGAAAACCACTGGAAGTCTGAGAATGGAATTGGGGAAAGGTTGGTGACCCCTGTGGTACACTGTTTCCATTTTGGGAATCTCCATTGCTCTCGCCCTCCACCCTCCAAGAACCATTAAGACAGAGAATCGCCAAACAAGGAAAATGACGACGAGCCGCGACTCTTAAAACGACGCAGGCCAGCTGCAGCCCTTCAAGGCTTCCTTCTTCGAGGAGTTGCTGCGCCCGGACCAGCGCTTGGCCTCCGAGACGGGGCGCTGGTTCGGCGAGATCGCAGGCCGGCGAGGGCGCGCGAGGGCGCGGTATGGCGCGGTATGGCGCGATGGCGATGGCGGCAAGCGGAGGGTTGTGCGGAAAAACAAAGTAGGCGTTGGTAGACTTTTGAAGTTGGATCATGTTTGTAGGATTTTTGTTGGTTTTTTGGTCTGTTCATTTTTGGGGGGCTGCACAAAACACAGTTTGCTAGCATACGAAGGGTTGGAAAGTAGTGCGCCTCTCCTGTAGCAGTGCATGTCAATGAGGAATCTCCCAAAAATGGCTGGTGAGCATGAACCTTCGTTGTTCCTCTTGGGCCTTGTTTTCCATCATGTGCCCAACCCTGGGGGACCTTCTTTTTGGTTTTTGTTTTTTAACAAGGGAAACCACACGGCATGGGGGTAACCTGTCCAACCATCGCCTTCGGGCCAGTTTTAGATGAGCTTCTTTCGGGTGATGCAGCTGAGGGGGAAACTTGGGTGTGGTTTTTGGATTCGATCTTTCTGCCACCAAGCCGGGGCTTTGGAAGGCTTCCAGTACCGCTGGCGCCGGCGCGAAGAGGAGGCAGCATCCGAAACGCTTTGGATTTGAGATATGGGTTCCGGATTCAATAGAGGGACGAGTATGTGTGTGGCATCCTGGAGCTTTTTTGTTTGTTTGAAGAACCCATGTAGGGTCACCCCAGTAGTATTTGTGTTTCATGTTGGTTGCGAAACCATTCTGCCTGAGATGTGCGGTGTTTGATGGTTTTCCGTTTTTCACAGGATTTCACAGTTTGTCCTCGAATGCTTGTGTGTGAACGGATGAAGTCGGTGCTTCAATCCATGCCTTCCAGGCACCGTTTGTTTCGGTGGATCACTTTCGCCCGTGCACCATCCCGCGGATCCCTTGAGGCAGTTGTGACTCCTTTCCCTTTCAGACAAGATTCCAGCCGTCTTTGGACAGTCATCTTCAAACGGGACCCTTCTTAGGGGTGTGACTTTTTCGACCATCACCTGTTTTTTTTGCAGGATCAACCAAGAGGTAAATGGAGGTCAAGAAACGGGTTTGTTGGAGAAGCAAAAAGGTCCCGATGTGGCAAAGGTGAGGGCTTCGGCTGGATTTCCCAGTGAGCCGGGCTTGGAATCCAGCATGAAGCCCATTGTTTTGGCCTCACGTTTCTCAAACACCTGATTCAGCTATGTGATTTGTTGCACAAGATTTTCGCCCAGCAAACCTTTCTCAAAGATCTCAAAGATGATATTGCGATGACTGGGTTTCAATTGCATTCGGCTTGCGCCGCAAATCCCAAAGAACTAACAAGGATTTGAACTTTCCAACACATACACTCTCTCTCTCTCCACTGTTTAAAATAGTCCTGCAGTGATTCAACCGGCCATTTCTTTCCTCAGCGGACCTAGTTTGCTATACCCAAGGCTGAACGATCACCTGCCCGAGGGAAAGAAGGAACCTAAGGACTATCTCCACGCAAACCTCAAACTGCCTGCAGGAACCGAAGTCCCAAATGTCGTGGCGAATCGTAACATCCGGAATCAAAGTGGGCTGGCCTGGAGGCCTGCAGCCCTGGAGCTTAAAGTCTCAGAGCTTTTCCCAACCCTGGGCATGTGAAGAGCGCATGTGGTTGGTTTGCAACCACCTAAATCAGAACAGAACAAGCAAGCAAGCAAGCAAGCAAGCAAATGCGCCAACGTCCAACGCGAGGGACAAAAAAGGAAAAATGCAGCGCCAACAAGTTTGCTGCACGAAAACGCAAAGTGGTTTGTCTCAAGATTGGGGAACACCATCATTTGGTTTCTCGCACGGAAAACAGCACCACGCCTGATATTTGGGAGCTCAGCGCCACGTTTGAGGCGGCCTTGATTGCGAAGATCTCCGCCAAGGACTTGCTGCAGTTCTTCGACGAGAAGATCGCTGCAGGCCGACCTCGGATCGGCGGATCGGGAGTCGGCACGGCTGTCACGCATTGGGTGCACATGTTGTTTTGTGACAGCCTGGTATGTTTTGCCCAGACACACTTGCGGTCATGCCCGATCACACTCGGAATGTGACAAGTTGCAAGTGTATCACTTCCGGATCTTTGAACCTGCGGCCCGGCCGAGGCTCACCGGTCTGCGTTCTCAAAAGGGACCAACACTGGTGGTTGGTTTTTGTTTCTAGCCGATATCCTTGATGAAACATAGACGGCTATGGGTCAAAATTATATTTCCAGGGACCTTTGTTGGTGGTAGTTCCTGTTTCCATGTAGCGATCGGGCAACCCATGTTGGGGGTACCCTATTTCAGCCCCAGAGGTCCACCGTTCTCTTGTTCCGCTTCAACTAGGGGAGGCAGTTCCGACCAGGCAGCCGTTTGACCACTCGCAGGCGGTTTGCAGCGGCGCTGTGCGTACACAGGGGCCTGGACCTCGGCATCACCATGCAGGGCGCGTCATTTGTTGAGGCTATCTTGTGGTATCTTCTCTTTTGTAGTTTTCAAGAGAAACAAGAAGGAGATCATCTTTGTTTTTTTTTTGCGTGTGGGGGAGGGGGGACCCTAATTTGAGACAACTCCGTATGTTGACCGGTAAAAGTGGGGGACGATTCCGCTAAGATTCTACTTACATACTTCAAATGGACATACACCGCTTGAACGCCATTTTTGAGGATTACTCTTGAGTATGCCTGGATGACTCCTGTACAACCCCGTTAGAATACCCCATTGATAGCCACTGTATTGGGGGTATGTCAATTTGGGGGTATTCAAGCTTGGTTGCTCTTTGTGACTCTGTAGCCCTTTTGTAAAATCACTGTTTGCTACGTGTCACAAGGTTGACATTTTTCTACAGTGAATTACGCGGGCCATTGCCGTGGGCCCCTAATTTCCCCCTCATGTACACTACCTACATGTCCATTGAATAGCGGGTTTGAGGTCAACAAAAGGCTATGGGCAGATACTGTGGATGGACGAAACCTTGCACCACTTTGAAAGTATGGGAAACCATTGCCTGTTGGTATTTTCAGGGGAATCGCATGTGCGAGAAGCGCATTTCGCAACCGTGCACAGCATCCATGACCCATGTAGCTTTCTCGAGGTCTTTGCTGCATCTCCGGGGCGAGAGAAGGCCATGTCTACCATGAAGGCACGCAGCGGCATGCTGGCGGCTCGGCTGGAGTAATTAATTATGTGTCTCATTTCTTGAGTTCATGAACCTTTTTGGGGAAGACCAGTTTAGTGGCAAACAAAATAAGTAGTTTCTTTCGGCCAGTCCACTCAGGACGGGAGTTGTTGATGCTAGCAGGCGCCACCAGTAGAGAAATCTCCCGCGAAGACCCAATGACTTGTGGGTTCTTTTCTCAGAGTAATGAAAAAGGGATATGTAATTACTAATTCTACATACTCCTACAATCATGACCAAATTTGGTTGTAAATGGTGGGGTTCCTTTGAGTTTCTTACCAACACTGGTACCGCTTGCCCAGAAGACACGCCACATGGGGCCCTGAAAGCTACGCGTTTTGGCCCCCCCCCCCCCCCCGTGACCACCTGCTGAGGTGGTGGAAGACCCTCTGAAGTTCAGCCAGGCCGCGCCGAAATGGCCCATCCGCCACTCGGACGGCGGATGGAAACGGGTCGGCAGACCGAGCCCCGGTGAGAGGTCCAAACGAGTTGCCAAAAGCATCTTTGCTTGGCGGCATCTTTGTTTGTTGCTTTTGCTTTGTTCGGTGTGACCTGTCCAAGTGGGGTGAACATGGTTGGCTGACACACTGCGGGTGTGAGTTGGAGCGGCCCATGTCCAAGCCCTCAAGAGACATACTTCCAAGGTAGCCCATGACGAGAAAAGGATAAGCCCTTGGAGCTTGGTGGTTCCCAGCCATCCCTTCGGTTTTTAGGCTTTTAGGGTTTCGTGGTAGTTTCCATTTGACCCACTAAAGGTTAAACCTTTACTCGTGAGGTGGCTCCCTCCCCATGGGTTCCTACCGATAGTTTGTGCTTGCTGTTGGCAAGCTGTGGTAAGACCTTCGTAAACCTGAACTCATGGCTGACTCTGCCAGATGACCCGTTTAGACTGGGAGATCTCGGGATCTCGGGGCGTCACCTTTGGTCGCAAGCGGCCAATGGTACGCTGGATGCCCTTAGTATCCCAAACCATGGTAATTGCACTCTTTTGACTGTTCCCTACCTGCAATATTTAGGGCATCCTCCGTCTGCTTGGGGAACCCTCCTGTCTCTGACTCCTCCGAACGAATTGGACCTGCTGCCTTATTTTGGGGATGATTTTGTGGCTTTCGTGTAAGGAATCTTCGATCCGGCGGTCTCGTCAGGTGACAATGAGTTGACCCTGAAGGTCTCCCAAGACTGGCGCGGCCACAGCTGAGTGAAGCAGGTCTGTCTCAAAAGGACCACATTTGAACAGCGCCCAACTTGGCCGCTCTATACCTGATTTTATTGGGATGACTTCAAGCCTAAATGGATCCTTATGACCATATATATATATAGATATATTCATACGCATATTGCATGTGTCCTGTGGGTTCACTGATCTCACCACACGAGGGGTCACCCAAGTTGAGACATACCTTTGAATGGGTACATATCAGTAGCGCAAGATAGAGGCGGCTGCCGTGCAGCTCGTAATAGGCGCGAGCTGCGCTCCGCTGCCGAGTGACACCAATCTTCGCCCACGTTCCGCGGACAGAACAGGGAGGATATTTATTTTCTCTCTGTCGTCAGATGTCCTTTGAGTCGATTTTCGCGTGGAGAAAATCTGGTGGATCAGGTGTGTGTTTGTTTTTTTTCCATGGCCTTTGAGACATTCGAGTGCCCTTCCTCAAACAATGGACGGGGACACGGGGGTTGGTCAAAAGGGAAGTTGACTATGAAAAGGACTGAAGGGTCCTGTCAGCTTCCATATCTGTTTGTTTGAGAAAGTATATCTGGCTTCCTCAGGTTTCCTCTCACAACACTTGCACAACCGTGTTTGCACACTGCCGAGCATCTGAACTTCAAAGCAGTTCTCAGGGGTCCCATTGGTTTCCCTTCAAGCAGTAACCAACAGGGGCCCACCATTCGGAGAACCCCCAAGTTGAGTCCATCAAACGCCTCAGGTCTTGATTGGCTTATCCTTGCAGCACCTGTGGATCCGCAGAAGTTGCGCGCCCGGCGCTGAGCCGTGTGCGAGTGGGAAACGAGTTTCCCCGGAAGGATCTGAGCAAAGATGCTTTTGGGGACCTTGTTTTTTCGGGACTTCACGTAGGGGTGATGTTTTTTGGGCCGAAAGTGTAGGGCACCCTGTTTGACCATGGGCTCTTGTTTTTCCAACCCGCCTGTTTTTCTTGCTGATCTTCTGGCCATATTTTTCTGAGGCTCTGAGGATCCAGATGCTTCTTGGAAAATCGACTTCGACTTCTTATTTCGGGTTGGCGAATTGTAAGTTGCCCAAAAAGGTGAAAGCTCAACATGCTTTGGAGGAGTTTTCTTGTCTGGGATCACACGTTTGAGATCTTTTTTGGGGTTTTGGGGGGGGGGGGGGGGAACGGCTGAGGTGCAAGCGGCCCTGCAAAGGAGCGGCGTGAAGAAGAAGCCAGCAGCAGACCAAGACAGGAGTAAGGTTTAGGCCAACGCCATTTTCTAGATGTGTTTAAACTAATTTCAACTCACTGCCAGACTCAACTAGCTGACCTGCTCTTTTGCGCTTCTGGTTCCCTTCACTTTCTCTTTCGACCAGCAAGCAACTCCAAGTAGCCCGTGAGCTATGACCAGAGATTCCGTCGGACACAATGCATTTGGTCCTTTTCATTCCTTTCAGTCACCAACATTCGACCTTTCCGCCAGGGTTTTGAGAACCCTGCAAAAGATGGCAGACATTCCCCTGGGTCAGAGGGGTTGTCTCAAAACTAGCTACTCGTCAGTGCAGCCTTTCACGTGTCTTGAAGAGGAAGGCTCTTGCTGCAATCTCTGCATGATTTGTCTTGTTTGTCTCGGTCTCGACCAAAGCTGGGTCCAACGCCATTTCGTCACATTCATTCCCAGGTGACTTTGCCCAAACATAGAGGATCTCCTTTGGCAGGGTTTCTAAACAAATGTCAAAACAAGCAAACACACGCAGCTGTTCTTGTGGCTTCCAAACAAAGCCGGTAATTCGCTTTGCACAACCTTGGGTTTCCAATCAAAAAACATAATCACAAGACTGCGTTCACTTCGGCTTCCGTTCAAAACCACGCCTGTTTACGAGCAGTCGGATTTCGCGGGAAACAATGCAGATAATTTGTTATTTTCCTTCTAACCCATTCTGTTGTATGAAACATTGGGGGTTTTGTCAAATTAAATTGCCGTTTTTTCTTCTTCTAATTTTCCTTCGTTTGGCAGACGTGTTTTTGTCAATCAAGACCCAGTTCCTATGATGGAATATAAATGAGTGTGAAGTTTGAAGGGACACCAAAAGGTCATTTGCGCTCCCTGTGACTATAAACAGAAAACCCCAATGCTTCCATTGATTGTGGCTTTGAAGGGGAACCAAATTGTATGCATTGGACATTGGACTTTGTACAATCCCAGTGACTGTACCTAGTCAGAAACCAGCAGGAAACCTGCACTGTCTCCGTTCTTGCGCACAGTGGTTTGCAAGAGAAGCCGGGAGAACACCTACATTAGATCTTTTGTTTTGTGAAGCTCCCGCATTTTGCAGAAAAAAGCAACCGTTCTGAAGGGAAACCAACCGGACGCCTGCCTTTGGGTACGAGAACATCCCAATAGTTGTGTATAAAGAGCTTTTGATTTGCAGGGAAATCAAAAGGGAACCCAGTGTTTAGCTGAAACGTACTAATTTGATGGGAAGCGCAAAGAACCCTGCGGTGGAGTCAATGCATGTTCAATGTTGTTGTTCAAGGCCAAACAAAACCTGCCTTGGATGTTTGTAACCTTACCCTAATTCCAACCAACCATATGTTTCTGGCTGGGAAGTCAGTAGGAACCCAGCAATTTGTTGTTTATTAGAACCTCCATAGAAGTGTTATGAGTTTGAGCGATTTGTTTTTGCGTTTGTTTTCTCATCGTGTCACTCCGAGGTGAGCGGAGGCGGATGGCTCAGCTGAGAGAGAGCCAGGTGAATGTCGACCTGATCTCACCTTTCGGTTTCCTCGTGTTTTGGTCGGTGTTTGGTGGAAGGGTTTGGATACAAAAAGCGGTATCAAGAGATGTTCTCAAAAATGTCCTGTCGCAGAGGGCCCACACCCATTCAGCAATGAATGATTCCACAACCTAAAATAAGAAGTATCCCCACAACAACCATCCTTAATCCTTTGTCATGAGGGAAATTCAGCTGCAAACCCGAGTACTTTGTGAGGTCGCTATAATTTGTCCAAGCACATGGCAGACGCTTGCCACTTCGGCAAATAGATTTGTCGCAGAAAGGAACCCCAAAGCCCCACAAAGGGGGGTCCCTCTTGCCATCCTACCAACTCACGCCTTTTTACCTTTTAGTGTATGGTCATCGCCAACACAAACAAATAAAAGCAACACCAAACGCCAAACTTCAAACAGAAAGCAACAATCAAACATCAAGCAACACAAACACAAACCAAACATCAAACAAAAAGGGGAAGACAAAAAGAGCAACAGCGAGCCGGGGGTAGCCTTCTTGGCTGCGCCTTCGCCTTCGCGCCATGGCCGCGAAATGGGCCATCGCGGTGACCGCTGCGGTGATTGCCTGCTGCTGGACCAGCGGAGCCTTTCGCCTGAGTCGGGGGTTAGTCGTCCGAGCCACAAATTGGTGCAAAGCCTTTGGGCCTTTGGACCATTTGTTTATGCCGGAGTTTGAGTATGACTCACAGCAGTTGGAGGCGTCACGGGAACTGGCAAGACAGCGACACTTTCTAGAAGGTTTTGAAGGGAGCATAGGGAGCCAAAGTCCAGACTTAGATTTGTTCACAGGTTTCTAAAAAAGGTCTTCGCACATCGAACATTCTTTATGACGATCGCTTTTCCCCCAACAATGGCGGGTTCTTTGGTTTACCTTCAACACCACTCCAAAAAGGGTACCCATAGCCTCAGAAAGCCGCGCCTTCTCAGGTCTTCACGGTGAAACTCCTGCAGCGCTGTGACTACAACAAGCCGTACCTCCTGACCTACCTCCATGAGCTGGGAGTCACCGCTGTGTCGGCTCTTCGGCCAAGAGGAAAGATTTCGACTGTTGCTGTTGGGTACGGAACCGCGTATGCCGGTCAGGCAAGTTGGCTGCCTTGCTCTGGCTGACGCCGCACTTCTCTCATGGCTGATGGTTGAAGGGCAAGTCGGCGTCGGGGCACCTGTGTAGTTGTTCGGTGTTCAGTCCGAACTGGCCCATGATTTTGCCAAAGCCACCCTCAAGTGCAGGTTTAGGGGAAACACCTTCCAAAACAGAAGCACGCAAGCACGCAACCTTTGAGGTTTAAGGGAACGTAACCCCCTAAGCATCAGAAAGGATCCTCCATAGGTGTCGAACCTCCATTGGAAGGTCTTGGACCTCATAAGGATGCAAAAAATGTTAACCAACAAGTTGAGAAACGTCTAAAGATCCGTTGCAGGGGGGGGGATTGCGGTTCTCAGAAAGAGAGGACATCTACCTTTACCCAACTTTTCCACGGGATTGCTGGCATAGAACCGCTGTGTCTAGACTCCACCAAAGAATTGAAAGCCCAGCAGACGCCATCGATTCTCAACCATGTGTTTGTCTCAAAATCAGGGCAAGCCTTGCTTGGATGGAATCAAAGACAGACCAAAAGGATACCAACCATCAGGAGGACTTGGTACTTAACTTTGAGAAACACCCAGCCTGTGTGCCAAAACGGGTACTGTCAGTTTAGCTGGTTTTTAAGCGGGAACCAACAGGAATCCCTGATGAAAGAGACATATTAGCACACACACACACACACACGCACGCACGCACGCTCGCACCCAACAAAAGCCAAAAGTTTAAATGCACGGGTTTCAGAGGTGCACCAAAAAGGCTCAGAAAGAAAATGCAAACAGCAACACCGCAGGCTTCAAAGGTTCCATGTCCCCATGCCCCTCACAGATTCCGCTGGCGGCGTGTGGTGGCGCCCAGCTGTGGCCGCGGTGCCGGCAGCTGGGGCTCAGGGCATTGGGCCTAGGGCTCCTAGCCTTTGGTACCTTGGAACGATGAGGTCGAGGGTTGGTTTTGGAGGTTTGACGTGATAAAATTTGCTTTCTTCTTTGTTTGTTGTGCGTTTTTGAAGGGTGGGGTTGGGTTTTTGGTGAGACCGCCGGTGTTGGGTTTGTATTTGGGAGGGGTTTTGGGTGGGATTCGGATCAGGGAAGGGAGAATATTATTTTAGGGTGGGTTCCGCGTGGGTTTTTTCGTGTTTCCCTTTAAAGTCCGAAGAAGGATACTCAAAGCACAGGCATTCGGATTCAAACAAGACGTCGGCGTTTCCATAGGGAAGGACCGTCAAATTGGCTTTGGTGTTCGTTTTGGTTTTCCTGTTAGAGCAACAGCGAGAAGCTTTCATTGGTGTCCAAGATAAATTCCCACTTGGCGGTTGAATCCATGATGTTGGCCTGTGAACCCGGGATTTACGGTTTTCTGGGGGATTTAATCATTCGACAAGCCCCAAACAAGCAGTCCGCCGTGTCTTTCTTTTGAGGGTACCGATGTGGAGTGGCTTCAAAAGAGTCCACAAGGGAAACCACAATTTTGAGGCGGTCTCCTTGTTTTAAGACACACCTAGTTGTGTTATTTTGAAATCTGGCAGTATCGGGGATGGTCGAATTCCTGCACAAGTTGGGATGGATGAGCAACCACGAATGCTTGTTGAAACACCACCTTCCAACGGGTGCAGGATTTGTTCCGTCCATGGTAGTAGCAACCAAGATGTCTATATGGGTCAAAAAACCAATGTTACCATTTTGGGGTAGGTGCACCACCCATTTTAGTCTACTTTATTGGGATTTGGGATGTTCACTGGGGGTATGGGATTTTGACCCATGGCACATGAGTTTGAGGTACAATCTGGGACTTGCGAACAGATTGGGAACTCCGCCGCCTTGGGATTTGGTTGGGTGATGTTGAAAGGGAGCCCAAGGAGCCTTTTGACACCCTTCTGGGTTGGAAGTCAAGGGCGGCGTCAAAGCTGGCAGGTCCGTCATTTCCTGACAAGGTTCACCCCTGAGGAAACCAGGCTCGATTTTCTACGGTGCTAAGTAGCGATGATAGACTTCAAACAAACGCAAAGCAGCCCAACAAGGGTTCCCCCACTTAACACGGATATTCCTAACAGGATGTCCTTCTAAAATGATTGCATCTTAATCAGGTGCTAAGATGTGCTATAAGTAGCAACCATCGCAAAACCGCAGCTTATGCAGAATCCCAATGGTGAATCTGCAGGCCCTCCCCCCCCCCAGCAGGTTGTACCTCTAGGCGCGAATATCTGCTTCATGGTGGCGCTGGTGCTGACGACCGCCAGCTCCGCCATGACGCTGGAGCAGCTCACGCCGGTCTGCATCGCAGGAAACCCCGCGGGGATATGTCTTTGGGTTCGGGGCATGGGGATTGATTGGTGCTCCGTGTGTTTCGGGCATTTTCATTGTGGCTTTCCTTCACAATTAAAACAAAAGCTCTCAAAGGACATGGGACAATCACTTGAAATTTACCATGATTAGTTGGTGCACCTGAGAGGGGGGCCAAGCACAAATCATCCTTTTTGCCCCCTTCAACGAAGGGACAGATCCACAGGAAAGCAAGAGGGACAAGTTTCACTGGGGGCGGTGTTGAACGTCCCAAATTCACGTTTAACTCGGAGTTCCTTTTAAACTTTAAACAATGTGGGGGGATTCTGTTTGCAATTGTTTTGGTTGTTTTCATGCTCAGCGGTGGATCCAAAAAAGCAACATCCAACTCTGCCCCACTGGCAAACATAGTACGTTGTTGCATTTTGCACGAGACGCGGGAGTTCCACGGCTGCCTCACAACTAACGCCGACCCCACACGAATCAAACCACGGTTGACGAATATGGGGATGTTCCTGGGTTTAGTTTGGAATCATCACTTTTGGAGGGGAACACACCCATATTGGTAAACTGGGGTTGATTCATCTGGGGTCAACATTTAACAACTGTGACATTACCTTGGCCTTGGATCGTCGTTCCTTAGCCGGTAACCAGTCGAATCCACCAACAGGAGATTCCGCTCGCAGCTGAAAGGGGTCGACTGAACAGCGAGGATTGCCCCGGGGGAACCGAGTACTGGGTTCAAGCCTAAGGGTTGCACATGTTCCTTCCACAAAATCTGCTTTGGGGTACGTACTTGTTGTATCGCTTGTTCAAGGTAACTGGCAATGGCAACAAGTGGGCAATCAAAAATGGGCGGCGTTGGGTCGTCTCCAGAAGAAGGTACCATGGTACCATGTTTGTGTGTTTCCCCAGGTAGCTGAAAGCTATCAGGGGTTCTTACTTCTGAAGACGGGCAGGCTAATTTGCGAGTTCGGGCCAGGTTGCTGTTGCAGGGCTGCTCAAGGTGCTGCGGTGCGGTGGTTGCTGGCGGTGTTTGTTTGGCTTGTTCGGGGGTGCAGGCACGGTGCTGTTGGTGCTGCTCAGGGTGCTGCTCGGAGTGCTGTTTGGTGTGCTCAATGGGTCTCAATGGCTCCTGCCGCCGATTCTGCGTTTGTGTGGGTAGTTTATTTTGATTTGTTGGCATTTAACGCATTTTTTGCGTCGCTTTTTTCAGGCCGGCTCAGGTCGTTTTGTTTGTGTCGGGCCCCACCAGGGGAATCCTCTCAGGCTCCTTCCTTTAATTCTGCATGTGCCCATGAATTTCAATAGGGAACCCTTTCAATAGTGGTTGCCGGACAAATCCCCCTTTAAATGGTGGCCAGCAAAGGGTTGAATTGAAGAATGCATGGCCATGTGGCGTGCGGGGTGTGGTTTTGTTTCAAACATCCCCACCCCCTTCAGAATAGATTTGGGGGAGGGGGTGATCCCTGGAATTCTATGTATGGTTAAATCTTCCCTTGGGAAGACTCGAGAAATGGAACTTTCAAACATTCGGCGGCAGTTTGCATTTCGGGCGCAGGTCTCTCGTACGTCTTCCTGAAGGAGACCTACGGGATCTGCCAGATTTTGTGGCTGGGCGTGGCCATCGCAGGGTCGGTGCTCACAGCCCGCAGTGATGTGCAGGCGGGCCGGGGGGGGGGGGGGTGGGTGGCGGGTGGTTTAAATGGACACCAAGAGGAGAGCCACCATTTGGCAGGGGTGCTTTCATTGTGAGACAAACCCATTGTGTTGTTTTTTTGTGGGTACCCCTCTTTTGCCAGATTCTAGAGGAAGACCAAAGGAAACCACGCGTTATTTTGCCGACGGGGTTTTTCACACATCCAAATGGTCGGCAACAACATCTAGCAGGGCCCAGGGGCGGAAGTTTCAAAAGAAGGGGAACACTTTTGTTGAAGCTTCGACTCTTCCCTCTTTCTCCCTCAGGGGTCCCTATATTTCCCTTTTTGGTGGTTTTAAACATCACCTTTTGGGCCCGTGAAAGGTGAGTGTCCCTTGGTGGGTGGGATGTTTTAAGGGGAAATATAGGGAGCACTCTCTCTCTCTCTCTCTCTTTGCCTCTCTTCGCCTCTCGAAGTTCCCTGGCCGAGGCATGCCACGAGGGGCATTGCTCGGGGTCCATGCCGCTCCTGGGAGACCTGCTGGTGGTGGTGACCTGCGTCACCGCGGCCCTGTGGCCTGGACCATCAACTTGATTTTTTGGGGGAAACTGACAGGAAAACCGAACAGAAGCGCCATGTTCCGTCCAAAAGCAAAAGGAAGCCAGCAAATCGGGTCGTGTAACAAATAAGGCCGTTTTTGGTGGGTCCCCTCAATCTTTACACATGCAAGACAACGGGTTGAAGCAAAAATCCCAGGTTCTGGTGAGTGACCAACGGACCTTTAAAATGATCAAGCACTCATAGGGATGGCCGTTTTCTGTACCACCACAGCTATTTCCACGACCAAACAGAGTCGTCTGCTCGTCTGCCGTTTGAGCCCGTGGCAATGGGTGGCACCCAGGGGGTGCCCTTTGAACCCCTTGGCGTAGATCCGTGTCCAATGGGTTTTGGGTAGATCCGTTTGGAGGTTGGCGTTTTAGGCAGGGGACCCTCCTTTGATACGACCAAAGGTGTGGACAACTGCGAAGCTTCCTTTGGTGTCGGGCCAAACAGTTCTACCCGTCCACGGCGGAATGCTTCGCAACGTGTTTGCCACATGGAGGGAATGGAAGCACCTTGGGATACACCCATTTTGAATTGGATTCCGTTGAGTGACGACGTTTATGGGAAACATACAAACTAGTCTAGGAATCGGCCATGGGAATCAGCCACTTTGGTATCATTGAATTGCACCATCATTTTCCAAATTGTGAAACCCAGACTTGTTTTGACGAGCAGAAACACAGACACACACGCAGAGAGAGAGGTCAGGCTTGGTTTTCGCGTTTGCAAGCAGAATGCCTTTGTTGCGCTGGCGACTATTTAGTCACCACCCCAAAGTCACAGACCTCCAGCTGTGCACCTTTCTTGTTGTCTTTGGAGCGGGTTCCTTGAAACTCGACACCACAAACAGCGCCCTGGGCAACAGGTTGGCAAGTCGAGCCGGCGAGCCGTGCGAGGTACATGGTCTGCTTTAAGCTGATGTTCGCGGAGGGGTGCAGCTGGCAGGTGCTCTTCACCTACTTCATGGTGACCTGGGCGCAAGAGAAACAACTTGCTGATTCATTTGGTAGGGAATGAAGAGGGATTCCCTGACAGCCGGTGCCCTTTTCGCCTTTTTCTTCTCCCAGGTGGTTTACCTTGAAATTCAACAACAAAGAAGATGCCGTTCAACTTGTTGAGTGGCCTATCCTTTCAGAACAAACCCTTGAGCTTTGTTTTGCTTGTTGGGTTGCTTTGCCAGACGAGTCACATGTTCAAAGAGGGCAAGATATGTCCCTGCCAGAGTGTGTGGCTCAGGGCGAGGTAGGGTGGGAGCGCCAGACGTTTTTGTTTTTCACTCCCGCACGCCCAAGCCCACAATTGTCCGGCATCATTCATTGTCCGGCATTTTGCCAATTGAGGTTGTTTCATTGTTGACAGCCTACAGGCTGCAGTCGTGCCTCATGCATATTGTCGCACTGGTGCATTGTCTGGCGCTTTGCGCATTGTCTGGCGCTTTGCGCATTGTCTGGCGCTTGAACCATTGCTTGTGCATTGTGACAGCCGTAGTGTCGCTTGGCATTGGCAACCACAGCTTTGTGCTTGTGTCACGGCCCAGGTAGGTCCATTGTGAAAGAATTGTGTGTCATCTCCCCTTTTAAGTTGCCAGAAGCATTGTTTCTGTGCTTCCTTGAGAAGGCGCAAATAAGTACGATTGTTTTTGTAGGCTTGATTGTTTTGTGCAACCACATCCCTTACGTCTGAGGACGGAAATGGCAGCGTGCAGTTCGGTGTCTGCTCATGATGCTCATGGCTGATCATGTACCGTTGGTTCTCTAGGGTTTGGCTTAAAGGATGATGCCGTTCAACTTGTTGAGTGGCCTATCCTTTCAGAACAAACCCTTGAGCTTTGTTTTGCTTGTTGGGTTGCTTTGCCAGACGAGTCACATGCTCAAAGAGGGCAAGATATGTCCCTGCCAGAGTGTGTGGCTCAGGGCAAGGTAGGGTGGGAGCGCCAGACGTTTTTGTTTTTCACTCCCGCCCGCCCAAGCCCACAATTGTCCGGCATCATTCATTGTCCGGCATTTTGCCAATTGAGGTTGTTTCATTGTTGACAGCCTACAGGCTGCAGTCGTGCCTCATGCATATTGTCGCACTGGTGCATTGTCTGGCGCTTTGCGCATTGTCTGGCGCTTTGCGCATTGTCTGGCGCTTGAACCATTGCTTGTACACTGTGACAGCCGTAGTGTCGCTTGGCATTGGCAACCACAGCTTTGTGCTTGTGTCACGGCCCAGGTAGGTCCATTGTGAAAGAATTGTGTGTCATCTCCCATTTTAAGTTGCCAGAAGCATTGTTTCTGTGCTTCCTTGAAAAGGCGCAAATAAGTACGATTGTTTTTGTAGGCTTGATTGTTTTGTGCAACCACATCCCTTACGTCTGAGGACGGAAATGGCAGCGTGCAGTTCGGTGTCTGCTCATGATGCTCATGGCTGATCATGTACCGTTGGTTCTCTAGGGTTTGGCTTAAAGGATGATGCCGTTCAACTTGTTGAGTGGCCTATCCTTTCAGAACAAACCCTTGAGCTTTGTTTTGCTTGTTGGGTTGCTTTGCCAGACGAGTCACATGTTCAAAGAGGGCAAGATATGGCGCTTTGCGCATTGTCTGGCGCTTTGCGCATTGTCTGGCGCTTTGCGTATTGTGGAGAGATTGCTTGAACCATTGCTTGTACATTGTGACAGCCGTAGTGTCGCTTGGCATTGACAACCACAGCTTTGTGCTTGTGTCACGGCCCAGGTAGGTCCATTGTGAAAGAATTGTGTGTCATCTCCCCTTTTAAGTTGCCAGAAGCATTGTTTCTGTGCTTCCTTGAAAAGGCGCAAATAAGTACGATTGTTTTTGTAGGCTTGATTGTTTTGTGCAACCACATCCCTTACGTCTGAGGACGGAAAAGGCAGCGTGTAGTTCGGTGTCTGCTCATGATGCTCATGGCTGATCATGTACCGTTGGCTCTCTAGGGTTTGGCTTAAAGGATAAGGGGGGCCCTTTTGCCGGAACTGGATTCTGAGAATGAAGAAAAGGTGTTTGTTTGTTTGTTTGTTTGTTACAAATCCCACATGGAACCCCACCAGAAGGTCCCTTCAGGAAATATGTGCTTCAGGGGCCTTCCAGTCCAAGCATGTCCTTTCTGGCTTCAGCTTGTCAATGAACATCGATGGATTCTACTGGCTTCAGTCTGGTAATCAGGGAGCGGCATCCATGTATTTGCCCACCACAAGGACGCCTGGGTTCCAGCCCAAGCAAGCTTGAGCCCTCAGGTAGGCTGTTTCAAGCCCTAAACCTTGCAACGGAGGTCCCCTTTCACCTTCAAAGGAGGGTCCAATGATGCCTAGGGAAGACTGTGTTTGTTTTGTTGGATCTTTCATTGTTCTGCTGATGTTTAGCTGCTTTGCTCGGGTTGGGGGATGTTTTTCAACCCAGCGCATTTCTCTTCAGACCTCCAACAGTTCCCCACACGATGAGTTTTGAAGGGACGAAGGGAAACAAACCATTGGGCCCACGCCTGGGTTCATTTCACCCAGATGACAACCATTTGCCGGTGTCTCTGGTTTTGACTTTTGCCCAGATCTGATAGAATCTTACATGGCCTTTTTTCTGAATTTACGAAAGTACTTTTCTTTACGTCAAACTTGCTACAGATGTTCCGTGATGTTCCTGTGGCTGATTTGTTGGATTTAAATCTTGATACTGGATGCAGCAGAGTTGCATCCTACTGGACGGACCGCATGCTTGCAAATGAAGAAGCTACATCTCCACCCTGAGGGCAACACAACCGATGTGACCCACCAAACATGGGTTGTCAAAACTCCGGCCTCCTTTTGGATCGCTAGTTTCGTGTTGGCCCGCCTTCAATGTCACAACTCGCTCGATGTATTCCACGGGGATTTGCATCCACAGATGCTATGGTTGTCAACGACCCCGCAACAGTGGACCCCCCCCCCAAAATGGGGGGCGCATGATACAACCCTACAAGGCCTTTGGCACATGAAGGACCATTTGGATTTGTGTTGGACCGGTTTTTGGGAACTGTTTCCTTGAGCGTGGCTCGAGGGTCGAGCTAAGGTGAAGGGCATGTCCGTAGCAGTGGTCGGGGGGCTGGCCTTGCCATTCCTCCCAAGTTCTCAGCTGGGCTTGCCCGAGGATGAGTGCCTTCGCCTGGAACATGGACCTGGTTCGCTTTGGGATTCTGGTTTCATGTTGGTTCATATTGGTTCATGTTGGTTCATGTTGGTTCATGTTTGTTTCCCTGTGGTTTCCTTTTGGTTTGGAGTACTGTTGGTTTTCCTTTCGCAATAAAACCCTTGATACGGGTTTTGGACAGCCAAGGATTCCCAATGGTCCAATATAGAGTTTTCATAAACAGCCTGGAGAGCGAATCTGTTGCTGCGTATCCTCCACCCTAATTAGCAGCACCCGAGGCTCACGGACGCACTCTGCCACTAGCGCCCTGAAGTTCCCAGACACGCCCGTTTTTTGGTTGTTTTGCCGAACAGGGCAAGCAACCTGAACAAAACGACCTGGCTCAGCACCCGCCACACCCTCCAACAGCAGTCACGCCGCCTTTGGAAGCGACTTGCCGTAGCACCCTGCCAAACGAAGCACTCGGCGACTCATCAAACTCTTCAACTCCACAATAATGGCGCCCTGCAACGCTGCAACAGCACAGGTTGCATACTAGCCTAAGAATCTTGGGATCTCAAAAAGGCCTTTTAGGTCTTTGCCCAAAACCTATTTTTGTGTTTACCACTGTGGATGAACCTACTTGTGCGACCTTAGAGTTGTTGTTTTCAATTATCCCCTCCTACTCTGTGTGTGTGTGTGTGTCTGTTTGTCGTCTGGTGAGCCGTGGGGGTTGAATGGATTAGGTGTATGTCAGGATTAGTTGCGCCGACAAGTTGTTCCTAAGTTGAACGATGCCCAAAACTCGTTCTGGGGTTGTTGGGAGCAGGTTACAGGAGGTTCAGGTTGGGGATGTCGCCAAGTTGTTTTTTGCTACAGGTGTGGTTGGGGCTACTTGGGCATCAACATGGTGGCCAACATGGCTTTCAACCTGTCCCTGGCCTGGGGAATGCTGGTGGTATCCCCGCTGGCCTGCCGCCTCTTCGTGCTGCTGGGCCTGCCTGCCTCACTGGTGCTGGATGCGATGCCCCTTGACACGGGTGGGGTCTCAGTGGGTCCTTTCTTAAGGGTGCCCCAGTATTTTTTGGATTGGTTTCCCAGGGAAACCACAAGGAAAACATTTTTATCGGGGGCGGTTGTTTTTGTAGACTGTTCGTTGTTGAAACGCCTCGTTTTGGATTTGATTTTTGATTGTTTGTGGGGTCGGAACATGGTGGTGCAAAATGCTTGAAGAGGGGTGGGGTTGGTTCAATTGACAGAAAGCACGTTATCATGATCACCGTGAGGGACCTAAGAAAAAACCGGTTGATCGCCGTCTCAACATCCGTTTCCTTTGGCGCTGTTCCAAGGCTACATTTCTTTGGTGCTAGAACAAAAACAACGGAGCTTGAGCCCTCGCAAGCTTGCCAAAGGGTGTCCCGTTTTTGTTTAAGCATCAACTCTTGGTGTCAACCATGTCCCTTTTATCCCTTGGTGAATTGCAAGGCAGTTTCCTTACGGGGTGATGTCTAGAAAGGACATGTTCAAACGCCGGCTTAGCGTTTGAACTGCCTGCGGGAAGCCGCGCGGGAACACAATGTAAGCAACCCTCGCATGAATCTCATGTCCGGTGTTGCAGGTGAACAAGGCCCTTCAAACACCAGCATAGCACGGCAAAGGGCTCCCTACTTTGGTGGCTTGCCTGGGATACCGAGGGGACCACCCGTTAAAAACCAATAGGCAAATCATAATGCAAACTTAATCCGGAGAACTGTACTAATCAGGGGTGGACTATTTGGGTGCATCATTCTCTTTTTGAAGTCGTGGTTTGAAAGGGAACCGCCTAATCAGGGGGAACACCACCATTTTGGGGGTCTCCGAAGAATGACACGCAAATTGTGTTCGGGTTTCCTTGGAGGGTGGGGATTTCGAAGTGAGCTGAATCGAATCCGCCGAGGCTCGGGGTGGCAGTGCACTTCCAGCGCGTGCTGGGGGTCGCTCTCGTCACCTGCGGCGTGGCCGGCTTCGAGGCATATGCGAGAGCCGCACCGAGAAGCGAAAGCCGAGAAAGCTCCGAGTGCCGGGAGGAGCGGAATTCCAGCTTGGCGCATGGGTGGGGGATTTTTTGTCCATTTGTTTTGCCAAATTCTGTGATACCAAGGGAATCTTAGTGATTTAATGGGGATGTTTGCCAGTTTCTGCGATGCCGAGGAGATCCTCGCAGTGATGAAATAGTCATGGGAAGCAACCACTTTGGATCGCAGACAGCTTAGCTTGCTCGGCTGAATTCGAAGTACCAGCCAGGCCCCTGGACGGGCCAGGGTCGCATGAAACCAAGTCTTCGGCTCATCCCGAAGGAGCAAACCCACATATTTCAAAAGCGGATGGGGGTGTGCTTCCAATGGGCAGAAGTGTTTTTTTCTTTTTCTTTTTTGACAGATGTTGCAACAACATATGACAGATGTTGCAGCAACACTTACGACAGGTGTAGGAAATGCACTTTCCGATGTTACTCGTTCGGATCTCCAAGAGCAACTCTTTGTGTTGGAGCCCACCAGCTTTTTGGGTCACGGAGCCTGGACTCGAGCTTCGTGTTGAGGGGTTTTCAATATCCCCCCCCAACCCATGGTTGTCCCCCAAAAAATTGGGGCTTTGCCGATCCCTTGCAGAAATCAAGGAAGACCGCTTTTTTTTGGGTGTCGACACTCGAGGCGAGTCATGTCAAGAAGAAGGTGTGGTGAAATGATGGTCCCCCCCCAAAAAGAAGAAGAGAGAGGGTGAAATTATAATCTGTCCCACACATGTGAATTGCACTCCCGAGCTCAGCTGTGCGTCATCGCGGTTTCGGGGTAGTGGCAGTGGAAACCCTCATTTCATATTTATACATATCCTCATACGCTCCAAATATATTTTTCTCGGGTATCATGTCAACCCTCTACTAAGAAAAGATGTATTTTCCATGGAAAACCGATTTCTTCAAAAGCTACCCCAAAACAAAGTGAGTATTTTGTGCAACACCAAGCTGATCTTTGTGAACACAGTCTACCCCTGATTGTTCATGCCAAAGTACGTGTTGATTGAACATATTCACCTTGACTTCTACTGTCTGAACATGGTTTGAATTTCCTCCGTTGGTTGTTCAAGGAGTTTATCACCGCTGAGCTCTTTTTTGCAGGGGACTTAAGCAAATGGAGGAAACTGAACATATTCACCTTGATTGGGGCTGGAATTGTATGCGACTCAGGAGGAGCTGAGCAGCGTCGAGTCCGAAAGCACTACCTCAGTGACGTCGGACCATCGCCAGGCTGCCGAAGCTGGGAGTTGGTTTGAAACGGAGGGTATCTGCCGATTTAAGCTGGGGTCTTCTGCCGATTTTGGCATCGCCAGGCCGTTTTGCCATTCAGCAGCATTGCCTGAGGTGTTTGTTTCCCCAAAGGGATGCTTTGGGGTTTTGGCTTAGGCTGGACACTTTGCATGATCGTCATGCCCGATTCTTCAGCATTTGACTATTCTCGCGCACTCAAGATTCTGGCATGGGACTATTCAGCGCTCACCCAGTAGCGTTTCTCTGGCATGCCAATCCATTCAGCAGCAACGTGGGTGGTTTTGCTCTGTTTGGGCAGGACATGGAAAGGCTTTGCCTCGACACTGGGCAACGTGGCTTCTGCCAGTTTTCTTCGGGGCGAACATCCGGGTTGGCTGCTACAGAGCAGGAGCTAGTTCAGGATGACAGCGCAGGGGAGTGGCAAGCCAATGATTGCCGGAGGTGCTTTAGACATACTCTGGGCATGAACAATCTTGCCATCGATATTTGTGCTTTTCCCCACACTCTTAGGAATAATCACACAAGGGCTGACAAAATTGGAATGTTGCTTGTCCACTTTGCACGATGTATTTGACCTTGGCCGGTTGGAATGCATTTGCTATCTCCATGCTCAAAGTTTGGGCCGGTGCTTAAGGCTTTTTGATCCCGCGCATCATGGGTCTTGAGGCTTCGGATGAAAAGAGGTGCTAAGAGACGCCTTACCGATTTGATTTGCAACAGATGGGGGTTAAAGCCAGAAGCTGGGGCGGAGGGGGTTCCCTGATTAACAACTGGGGGGGTATGAGATGTATGAGGGGTCAACATGAGTGTCACTCGCGGGTCATTCTGGGCGAAAAGCATGAGGATGGTCAAGCATTTGCAACTACTCTGGAGCTTCTGGCCAGGAAGGTTTGAGCCTTCCATGTGCAGTCATATCCCCTTTGTCTGGGATCTCTTTTGAATGTGTGCTACATTGAAAGGTTCACTAAATATGGACCAGAACATCGTTTTGTTGGGGACAAAAGCTGAGTCACATTTTTGTCCAGCCATAGAAGTGGACAGGAGAGGCTTGGACACAGATTGGAAGAAGGGTATGTTTGATTTCGGAGTTTTGGATGTTGTATTTTTGTTTCTTTTGGAAAGACGGTTTTGTTTGTTTTCGGGGTGGGGGGAGCGGGCCATTTCCAGGTGTATTGAACCACATATGGGGGCTGCGGGCTCTTCATTTTTTTTGATTTTATATCCAGTTCCTTTTCAGAGTGTTCTAGGGGCTCGCCAAAAGGAAACCTGTAAGTCCAATCAGCCTTTCCTGTGACATTTAAGACCAACCTGGAGGTTCTGAGGCCCTTTAACAAGGTCGTCTCCGTTTCCCTTGTTGCACCTCCAAAGTGGCAGTTTGAATGGACACCACCAGCAAATTGCAGCTTTTGAAGGGGAAATCCAATTCTCCTGCTTAAACATAGGGTCTCGCATTACATTTGGCTATATCAACAGATTTCTTCAAGGACCATGGAGACTCTGTGCGCATATTTTACAAACACCCGGTTGGATGAAGCAGCCCAGACAGGCAAAGGAGGCCTATTCCATGCCTATTCCCTTATTCGATGCCTATTCCGCGCTTACTCCATGCCTATTCTGTCCTTCGATAGATGTCATTAGCACCAGGCTTTGACTCACGTGCTGCAAACCCAAGACCCCTCTAACACGATGTTACCTCCGGGATACGCACCCCATTGGATCATGCAGACTGATTCCTTTCATGCAGCCCGCCAGGGCGCGGTTTCTGGCCACCGGCGCGGCTCGCAGCTGTGCTTGCTGGGGGCCATTGCGGTGTGCACCGCTGGGTTTCTCGCGGCCGCGCAGTGAGCGGCGAATTCGCTCTTCGGTTTGCGCGTTTCGGGTCGAGAGTCGAGAGGTGAGGGTTCCAGGTGTAGACTGTTTCAGAAAAAAAAAAAACACGGACTGTTTAGGGGCGTTGCCTCCTGGAACCTGAAGCAAACATTTAATCCCATTCAAATATATTGTGGTTTCCCAAACTGCGAGTTTCCATAAAGTAGATAGGAAGTTGCTGTTTGGGAGGCCACAGTTTGTAACAGTTTGCTTCAGGTTCCAGGCTGGTTTGGTTTCCTTCGGTTTCCTAAAGGAGTTTTGTGTCAGTGCCTTGGCAGCAATGTGAGACCAACAGGCACCTCGGATGAATCCCCAGTTAATTAGAGGCCAAGTTGCCCGAAAGAAACAGAATCCAACCATTAAACTGGGATTACTCTTTCTTGGGTTCAGTAGTCAGGGGTCATCATTCACCTCACACTTGTCCCAAGGCCATCAAAAGGACTGAGTCTAGGTGCTACTCTGCCACACATCGACCTCTGGCTATGTTGTTTTTCCTTTTAACGAGTTGAAGCCTCCAAAGTGGTTGGTGGACATGAATCCCCCACACGATGGCCACCAAAGGGTCTCTAAGGAGAAGTCATGCCCGCTCAGCTACGGCACTCTACGTTTCTTGCCAGGCAAGTGAGACTATCAGGTTTGACATTGGCTTTGGACCAACCAGACGCCGAATCTTTCCCATGTTGCGTCCGGTGTTGAGGAGACGCTAAATGAAAACGATCCACCAGCGGTATAGTTTGGAGAAGCACACGTTCCTTTGAGACGTCATTTGCTTGAGAAGCCAATTGGTCTTTTGAGAAGCTTGGTGAAGAAAGGATGGGGTGAGGCTGATCTCACTCAGATCCGATGCCACCTCCCGGTGTACAGGCCGGCAGGATACGAGTTTCACCCATCAAGGCTTGGCCAGGTGCCCTGCAGTGGATACGCCCATATCCATGTCGTACACCAACCATACTCAGCCACAAAGCCATGATACATTATTGTGAATTTCAAATCTTCCCCTTGAACCCCTACATGCAATATGGTAGGGGCATCCACTGTAGCTCCATGTTACTCCCAGTGGTCTTGTAGCTGATATGTCCGCAGAGGCGTTCTGCCCCTATTTGGGAGGCCCGCAACCCGAACGGTACACCTTGTACCAGGGTTGTCCTTTGAACGCCTTATTGGGTTATTTCTCCAACTACTAGTCACCTAAAATGACAACGGTTCCTTTTGACTACCAGCCACAAGGGCTTCGAATCCTATTTTGAGAAACCCTGTATTGAACAAATCTATGGAACATGCAGAAATGGATTTCTGTTTGAGGCAAACCCAATTTGGTCAACCAGAAAAAACAACTTGCCATTTGCGAAAGGACCACCCCGCACGCAGCCTCAAAAAGCGCGAAGCGGTTTCCTGCCCACAAACAGCTAGCCCCAGTGTGACGGTGCATATCCTTTACAGTCCTCATGGTCATCAAGTGGTTTCATTTGCCATGAAACCCCTGATAGCGAGTTGGGGGTTGGTGGTAGTCAATCCTCTGCATGGTCATAAAGTGGCTTCATATGCCATGAAACCTCTGGGGGTGGGTTGGTAGTTAATGGAGACTCGAAGCCTCGAGTCCTGGGTCGGGCCGCGCAAGCGCTCCGATTTGAGGCGAGGAGTCGCGGCCTGAGAATTTCGCGGCTGACCTTGAAGGCAACCGGCGCCCAAAACCGCTGGCAATGAACATCAGGCGGTTCTATCAGGTTTCATGGGACATAGACTTCAATCAAAGCAACAGGGTTTTGTGCGCTGCTCAGTTGTGCATGTTTAGTTGTTGGCCGCAACCATCAGGGGGCCAAACCAGGTTCCAACAAACAAGGCATGTGTGTAGTTACATGTGGCATAAAACAAGAAGCCTCGCCTTCAGAACCCAGAGCTGCAAATTCACTTATTGCCACTCATTGCCGCCGAGTATAAGTAAGCCTCTTCTTCTTGACCCATACCTTAAATGAAAGCCCAAGGTCTCGCTCGCTCGATCGAGGCGGATGCTCCTCAGACCCTGCCACCTGGTTCGCAGGCTCGCTCGGCAAGTCCTCAGTACCCTTTTCCATTTCGGTTTAAAGGGGAACCAAAAGGAACACCGAAGCCTTTTTTGTTTTTTTTTGGGGGGTCGCAAATCCCTGCCATGTATGTTTTTTGAAAGCTGTGCCCCAAAGGATTACTTGTTTTGACAGGCCATGAGAACCGGGAGACACAGCAAAAGTAAGTATGAAGACTGGCCAGGCCCAAGTTGGCATGTGTGTTGCAGGACAAACCCGGAGGGTTGTGATAGTTTTTTTTTTTTTTTCTTTTTATCACGGGGAACAGCGAACTCCCCACTGTTCGGCGGAAGAAGCAACCACACGAATCATTTTTTTCATGCTTAGACGCCCTTCTGTTGGGTTCCCTTTGTAGGAGACTGAACGGAGTTTTCGCCCCACACCACCCCGTGGACAGATGGTTGATATGACCACAATCACTTGAATAGAGTAGATAGATGAACAACAGACAGATATCTTATTTGTATGTCACGTGTTAAATGTTTATTACATACAATACTTTTAATATATATATATAATATACTGATATATTGATAAGGGTATACTCTATTTCTTGTTTTCGTCCTGCTCTCCGTAGGCTGCTCCCCACGGAAGATCCCTTGAGGGAGCTCCAGCGCACGCAGCAGGCCTGAGAGTGGGGGGAGGACTCCCTTAGACGAACACGGCTGTGGGTCAAAACCCCGGACACCCCTGGTGAACATCAAAATAGGTGGTACATGGCTTTTCATCCGCCCCAAAATGGAGGCATAGGTCATGACCCATGGCCACATGGAAGCTCCAAGAAGGCGTCTCTAAATGGAACCAAGTCTTCCATTTCGGGGTCCAGAGAGCTTCCATGTTAGCCTGGGAAAGGGTAGGGTCCAAGCCCGTTGAGGATTGTCTCTTAGGGGTTAGAAGGAATTGAAGCACCAGGTACTCGGACCCGGGTAAGGGGCCAATGAGTTAAAAACATTTGGCAGAGAGGGCAAATCGTGAGCAGCGAGTTCCTCAAGGTTTATGCGCCGGCTACCCCCCAAACCTGAAGTCTACACCCTTCAAGATCATGTAAAAACAAAAGCACACTCACACACAAACCACATGCGGATGGTGAAACTTCACACGCTGGATTGAAAGCCCTATCTAATTACAAGGGGATCAGGAGGGTGTTCTTCTTTGTTGAGGGTACCCTGTTAGGTTGGTTTACGGGGACACCAACGGACAGTATCTGATTTTGTGGGCACCCCAATTTTGACATGTTGTTTCGTGAAGTCGCTTTGCCGGCTTGCCTATTTCCAATTGAAGCAGAATCAACCAGAAACAAACAGGAGAAGCGGGTGTGGCAAGCCGAGCTTCTGAATATTGACTGGTGTTGGGAGGACTCCAAGGACTGTACGGAGGTTGGGGGGTATACCTTCTGCCTTGTGGGTACAATGTGTATTGTATGCATCCGGGCAAATTGTAGCAGCCATTGTAGCAATGTCACTAGGGCTGCTTGCGACGTCACCCAGAGTGAAGATTGCTTTCACGGGTCCATGTTTCCCGGTGGGCGATTTATTATAGTATTGTAGTTTGCATAGATGGATCGGGGATTAGCCCTGTTTTGGTTTGGATTCCAAGAAACGTGCCGCCGGTTAAGGGGATACTGAGAAGGGCCCTTAAGTTTGCCCGTAGCAAGAAGGGGCGAACTCATTGTCCTATGATCACAGCTTATTTTGGTTTTCACGTACCCCACAACCCCACAAACAGATTGCACTCTACAATATATACTTCACCCACCTGAGCACAGCAATCCCTAATCTAAGGCAACTGCGTCATTGGTGACATCGTAGTGCCCCCAGGCGAGCTCACCGTGCTTAATGCAGAGTTGTGCACAAAACGATATACACCGAACAACATGCAGCCGACCGACCGTCGACCCGCCAACCCAAACCAATCCAAACCAATTTAGCCATCAAAACCAATCCAGGACACCAACAAGGCATGGAACTTCGGGTTGGTTGCCAGGGTCGAAGAGGCCACACTTTTGACATCTGCTTTGAGGCAGCAGAAAGTGCCGCCTGGCTGCCGACCCCTGAGGCCGGCAAAAGGAAGTCCATCCGGGAGTGGGCCACCAACCGGGGAACACCGGATATACCAGTAGAACCGGCCAAGCCGTGCGGAAGTTTCAAAGATATAAGGTGTGTAGATTTGTAGTTCCTAGTTCCTTCTACTTCTAAGCTTCCTTTGATGATGTCATGTTTGTTTTGGCTTTTCCCAGCAGTCAAAATGGACATGGTGGAACTCACTCAATTTCCCACTCTTTCCAGGGCACTCACTAAATTTGTCATTTCCTTTACGGCAACAACGATTTGGACCACACATATCTGCCTATGGCACGCTTAGCTGTGGGGCCACTTTGTGCGAGTGGCCCCAAGTGAAGTCATAAGTCATAAAGACGGGGTTCCCACTGTAATTACCTGTCATGTTTGACCTGAGGCAACAGCTGAGGTACAAACCCCGAAGAAAAATGTTGGCATAAAACCAAGGGCCAGGGGTACTCATGCATCGCTGACTCCGAATTGCAAGCGGAAATCGGCAGAGTCACAGGGGCGAGCTGGTTCGGACAGGACGCCTTTTCAAGAGGACCGTAGTCTTCCAAAAACCTTGTGGTGTACAGGGTGGGAAGTGTTCCATGACCCAAGCAAGTGGCCCTCCCCCGAACACAGCATATCTCCAAAGTGGCAAAGTTGCGCTACTCGTCTCAAGTTCTTGGTCGTCCTTCAACAACCCCTAAGCCCGGACCCCTCAGGGTGCTTGAAAACGACCCATTTTGAACGCCTCAAAACAATCGAGAGCCTTATGGCAGCAAAAAAGACACCCACCCCATTCTCAGACTACGAGCTTGGGTGAAGGGCTTGTCAGGGAGTCTGTTTCTGGTGGGTTGAGATTTCAGGGGAA